AAACTGAGAGAGAAGGAATACTCCCAAACTTATTCCTGGAAGTTAGCATTACCTTGATTCCAAAATCAAACAAGGACCCAACTAAAAAAGAAAATTACAGATCCACCTCTTTAGTGAACACAGTGGTAAAGGTCCTCAATAAGATACTGACAAACAGAATGCAACAAATCATTAAAAAGATCATGGATTATAACCAAGTAGGCTTCATCCCAAGAATGCAAGGATGGTTTAATATATGTAGACCAATACATGTAATGCACCACATAAAAAACAGCACAAGTATCACAAGATCACCTCAGATGCAGAAAAAGCCTGACATATACCATCCATTCAGAAAAGCCCTTTAAAAAGTAGTTACAGAAAGACCTTATCTCAATCTGATAGAAGTCACTTATGACAAACCTATTAACAATACCCAATGGAAGCCTTTCCTCTAAAAGCAGGAAGACAACAAGGATGTCCACTAAGCACCAGTGTAGTGTGAAACTTTTATCCAGTGCAACTGAACCAAGGAAAGTTAAAACTTTTACCCAGTGCAACCAAGCAAGAAAAAAGGGTATGAGAAAGAATTATCCTTATTCCCACAAAACATGATCCTTTACATAGAAGACACAAAAAACTCCAGTGAAAGACTCCCAGGTACCCCAAATTCAGTAGTGTAGCAGGATACAAAAATCAATAGTGCTCCTATACACCAATAAGGAACCCACTAAGAAATCAGGAAAACAATATCAATCAGAAAATAGCTTCAAGAAAAATTAAATACTTAGGGATTTAATTACTTTACTTTCAAGGAAGTGAAAAACTGCCATAATAAAAACCACAATGCTCTGAGAAAGATTAAAGAGGATATCAGGAAATGGAAAGACACCCCCTACTCCTCAACTGGAAGAACCAGTATTACCAAAATGGCCATCTTTCCAAAACTGATACCATAATTTTAATTCAATACCAATCAAATTTCCAGTATCATTTGTACACAACTACAGAAAACAATCCTAAGATTTATATGGAACTAGAAGAGACCCAGAAGAGCAAAAGCAATTCTGGACAAGAGCAAAGCAGGAGACATCATAACCCCACACTTAAAGTTACATTACAAAACTACAATGATAAAGCAACATGATACTGGCACAATGACATGTGGACCAATGGCACACAGGATAAAAAGCAGAAACCACCCCAGACATTAGCTACCTGATCTCAAGACAAAAGGGATAAAAACATTCTAGAAAAAAACAAACAAAAAAGGCCTCTTCAACAAATGGTGCCAAGAAAACCGGCCATATACATGCATAAGATTGAATCTAGATCCCTATCTCTCAATATGTATTAAACTGAAATCAAGATGAATCAAAGATCTCAAGTTAAAACAATCTGCTGGAACAGATAAAACTTATGAAGACAAACGTGCAGTCAAAGACTTTTTGAACGAACCCCAATGGCACAAGAAATAGTACTGAAAATCAACAAATAAGATCATGTCAAAGTAAAGTTTCTGCACAGCAAAGAATAACAAGTGAAGAGACAACGTAAAGAATTGGGGGGATGGGGATTTATCAACTATTCTTTGGACAGGACTAACATCCAGAATATTTAAAGAATATTTAAATATTTAAAGAACTTAAAAAAATCAGAGCCCCCCACCATCAAACAAAAGACCCAATCAAAAAATGGGCCACTGAAATGAGTAGACATTCAGATCAAGAAGTACCAATAAATGGCCAATACATGAAAAAAGGTTGAACATCTTTAGTTGTTAGTGAATTTCAAATCTAAACAATACTGTGGTTCTACCTTAATCTAGAATGAATGGCTATTAAGCACTCAAAAAATGCTTGTGAAGATCAGGGGAAAAGAATCCTTCTACATTTTTGGTGGGAATGTACCACCACTATGGAAATCGGTATGGAGATTAAAAAACTAAAAGTAGAAATTCCACTCAACCCAATTATTTTTTCTAGTTATCTTCCAGAGTTAATGACAGCTTATTAGCATGAAACATGCATGTCCATGGTTATAGTGGCCCCTAAAAAGTAGCCAAATCATGGAAGCATCCTTTATGATCACAAATAGATGAATAAAGAAAATGTGCTGATACACAATGGAGTACTATTCTACTATAAAGGATAAATTTAAGTCATCTGTAGAAAAGTGGATGCACCTTGAGACCATAATGTTCAATAAAATAAATGAAGATACACAAGCTTAAGTACCATATGGTTTCTCTTCTAAGAAACCCACAGTATAAATAAAAGATAATAGGAAATAGGGAGATAGATCTTTTGCAAATGGTAAAAGGACCAAGCAAGGAAGAGGCAGATAGACTGCAGGGAAAGGGGATGTGTTACATATAAGAATTTAGATGTGTTAAGTACATGTACCAATTTGCCACGATGAATGTAATCACTGTATTGCAAACATGTATAAAGACAACAACAATGCTGAAAACATGTTTTACAATGGACAAACTGAGAATTATGGAGTCATCTACAAATAATGAAGGGCTTCTTAAAAATATTAAGTAAAAGCTACAAAATAGTATAAACTATATAATGCCATTTAACAAAATGTGTACTGATCATTTACAGGTAATTGGCTATTATGCCATCTCTATACTTTCCTCAAGTTCTAGCTCCTGAAAATGTGAATTACCACGTGCAGGTTTGTGTGTATTTAACAAAGACAAATTCATTTTTCACAAAGAAAATACTTTTTGGGTTAAGTAAAAGTTGACAAAACTCAAATCTGCAATATTCCACAGGGCTCAGCTACATACTTGTGTGCTTAACCATACATGTAACTTTCAAAATGATTTTCCCATGTCACTATTTTACAAAATTTCTTTTTCTCAACCAGACCTCTTTGACCTTTGTTTTGTTCACAGCGTCAGGGCCAAGTATGAGACACATAACCACCAACTTTGTTACACACAGAAGGTATATTTATAATGAAACATAAAAGAACAAATATGTAATACTTGCCCTTCAATAAAATTAAATATCAAACAATCATGTTGAATGCTGGAAAACTAGGCCAAATTAAAAGAAGACTGAGATAAAAACTGTGAGTTAGAGACACCTTCTGAAAACTTTCTATGTCTTTGGAGGTTGACATTACAAGCATTTTATATCTAATTTCCCTTTTAGTATCTATGGTATTCCTTTGACATCACTAGTATTTCCATATTTATCATTCATGTTAAGAACCAACCTTTAACTACCAAATGGAATAGAGAGAAAGCTTCCAGCAGTGAAGAGGCAAGAATGAAAGGAGGGAAAAAAGATTTGTGCATATGTGAGAGAAGTCATTAGGTCAGTAATACACTGGAAACAAAGTAGACAAAGTGAGAATGGAGGATAAAAGAGAACAGGAAATGTACAGCCACTTCTTTGTATAAACCATTTTTAGAATTCTCAACTGGAACACCTGATAAATGCAAATCTTTTTAATTCCTAGTAACATAACTGATGCAGATGCAGGACAACTCTTAAAACGTTAACAACTGTTTTTAGTAAGACTATTTTATTTTAAATTTTTCAAAATATAAAAATAATAAACATTATGGATATTTAACAAACAAAACATAATTCAACTATAAATAATAAAAATGTTGACAACCCCACATAAACATGTAAGCATACAAGAGTAGTTTTCTAGTTCAAGTTTTGCCTTTTTCAGTTCAAGTTTTATTATCACTTTAAAAATAAACAAAAAGCTGCTACAGCTTAACCGATTACTTTCGCTCCACCCAAAGAGCAGGGAATTTTTTCCCCATGCCAACACACATTCATGAAATGGGATACTTATGGGCACAGGTATTAAACACTGGAATAATCCAATCTCCAGGCAAGAAAAGATTCCTTTGGTGTTTTTAGATTCAATAGTCCTCAGAAAAGTGAATTAAAATAAAACAATGAAAGGAAATTTTGTGCTACACAGTATGTTCTGTGTCACATCCAAAAACAGGTTCAAGATTGTGAGAATCACAAGCAGTACTTACAAATGCTTTGCTGATACTTAACAACTGTAATCACTAAGGTGTTGGAATAGAATTCTTAGGACAAAATAAAAACTATGCATCAATGAAAAACTTGTGCACTGTAATAACATGTATCTTATAAATCATCAAATGTTCTGTAAATATTTAAAGAATTACTCTGCCTCCTGTGGAGATTGTTGATACTTAAGGCAGAGTAATATTAATAATATTTTAAGACTAGAAAATATTCCATTTGAAATATGAGAAAACAGCCATGCTGAACATAGAATTTTTTAAAATTCTTGTCAAATTAACATCCTTCCTCTTATCTAAATAAGCTATTCTCTTTTGAGGGAAAGTTGGGCACAAATAAATGTACAGTCATTTTGCATGATTTTCTTAATTTAAGAGGTGTTTCTAATGAGCTGGGCGTTTCATTTGACTCAGCACAGACCACTTTTATAATTATGCTGCTAGATTAGAATAAATCACAAGCAATCCAGTCATAGATTAAAGCCTAGCAAAGTCTAGACAACATGTCCAAAATGATAATGAAAGGTTTTGTAGCACCATTGACTTTTTTCCTAAGACACTTGAGGGGTGTATTTCACTTTAAAGTATTATTTATCTTGTAAACAAGACCAAAAATATTCCATTGATCTGTATTTTGAGCATAAATATTTATAAACTCTATTAAAAAAACAAATATAGCATGACTACGGCAGCTAATAGTGTAAAATTTAAGTATATTGAAAAATATAAAGATATATAAAAGGCTTCCATAATGCAATCATGCAGAGGTAAACCACTTCATTTAATTACACAAAAGTGACTCTGTACAGTTATCTATGTACACATAGCTCCATGAGAATCTTATTTAGGGAATAAGAACTTTATCTTAATTTACCAACATATGAGGATTTAAATAAATTAACTGGCTCTCACAGCAATTTTCAAAAACACAATGATCTTAGTAAGAGTAGCATTTTGATTTTTGATTACCCAATGGCATGTTCAATTTTTTTTTTTGCTTTGTTTTTAATTTAAAAGCAAAGTATAACAAAAGAGGATGACAAAATAAAGTTGAAGATGATCACGTGGTCCACATCCATCAACCAATCAAAATTACAGCAAGTATGGTCTCTTCACAAAATATTTTTTCAGTGCTAATATAGCATCTAAACCACTACTGTAGGGGCAGAGAATCTTTCCTTGAATATAAAAACTACCAAACTAACCTGGGAAAATGTTTATGAACTCCCTGCAGCTATCTGCTAGTTGGCTAATGTGAATCAAAAGTCTAATTAAAAAAAAAAGGGCCTGTAGATAACTAGGTAATATACTTTCCAAAATACATAATTTTCCTTTAAATGTGCCATGAATAACCAATACAGTTCAAAATAGGTAATTTACATTATGAATGATGTATCCATTACATTGTTTTATTGTTAAATAAGGACAATCACAATGCATACTTTTAGGGGAAATAAAACATTTGCACCAAAAAAAAGGTATGGTTGGACAGAACTCAATTTTCGTTTAAACCCTAAGGTAAAGAGAAGCAGTGTAACTTGGATATTTCAAATAAAGAATGCTAAAAGTGTAACATACTTCTCAAATGCCTAAGAATCTATGAAGGAATACTCTAAATTTGTGAAAACTTTTTAAATGGTGCCCTTTGTAAAAAAGATACTGTGAGTAGATATTTAGAATGAGACTTTGTTGTACTTTGTAGAATTCTAAGTTGTACTGCCTATAATTTGTACATACACTTTAAGAATTGAAAATTATAATCTTTAACGATGTTAAGACACATACTATTTCCCCTTGCTTTTACGATTGTCTCTGAAATCTTGATTATAATATGAAAAACTGTAAATCTGAAATTTATTTTTCAGTATTTATAATCAACAAACCATAATTTATTACTTTAAAGTAAAGAAAATTATTCACATTTTGAAAGCTAAGGGCTAAAAAAATTATGTAAGTGACCTTGGCAATGACTTTTAAATATATTCATAAGAAAAAGGCAGGCTGTAATAGTCTGTAAAACATTTTTCTCATTATCTGTTCAAAATTTTTTTAAGTGGCTATTCCAATCCCAGAAATATATCCTAAAACCAAGAAAAATTAAAACCAAAACTTATGTTTAACTTTTTAATTAATTTTCTTCATTCTAAATTGTTCATGTTGATAAACACATTATCACGGATCTATAGGTTTTCTAGACACAATTATCAATTTGGCTGAGACGGCGTGTATCTCATATTAGGAAAAAAGAGGCATCATCTCTTCTTTAAGGTGTTTTAAAAAACAAATGGCTATAAAAGAGAGAAAACATTTATGGTAAATCACACAGGGCACAAATTTAGATAGACATTTGGAGTGGGGTGTATGCTTGGAGAACTGTAAATATAAAATGCTAAATATAGTACATGTAAACAACTACTCAAATTGATAAAGAGCAAACAAAATGATAAGATGGTAATATCATAACAGTCGTCTCCAGACAGGAACAGGTCTTGCTCTTGTAGTCACAAAGCTAATTCAGGCAATGATGATCTCTCTCTGCTGGAAGAAGAGAAAGCTATTAAAAAAAAAACTTTGAAAATAGCAAATAAATATAAAACTTGAATCACGCCATAAACAGATCTCTAAACATTAAGACAAAATCTATTTGAGAAAAGAATCGAAGTTGCAGACAAATTACACAAAGAATCAACTTTGGGGCTAAATGATTTTAACAAAACCTTTCCGTAACATGTTTTACATGCAAAGATCATAGTACTACAACATGGTGATTACTGAAGATTTTCAGCTAGGAAGTCTAGTAAGTGATTAGATAGTATGTTTTTATGGAGGTGTAGGTAGGCAAAGAGTTTTTAAGAAATCATGAACAAATTCCAAGCTATTCTAAATAAAAACAAAAGCAAAAGTATTTGTCTTAAAAGTTTCCCAAAGATTTCAAACTAGCTGTAAGGTACACCTAATTAAGTTCCATATGATGATCATTTCAAACTTTAAACACCCCATGATAAAAAATTCCACACTAAGCACTAACATCAACAACAAAAATAATAAAAAAAGGGAAGATACCAAAATAAGATAGGTCTTGGTCTATGAAAGAAGGCTTACTCTGGATAGGAAGATGAGATCAATGAAATAAACAGAGAAGAAACAATTTGGGAAGGAATAAATACAGTTGATACAAAAAAAAAAACAAAACTAAAACTGTTTTCTTTTATACTAAATAATGAAAATACTGACAAAACTGCAAAAAGTTATTATCAAAGTAGGTGTTTTTCTACTAAGTATGATGCTTTCATTAGTAATAAGTGACAATGGCAATCATGTTCACTAAGGTTTTTCTTTCCTATGACTTTTAGGCAGCTATTTTAAAATATTATATTTCATCTGATAAGTGTACAATGGTAGAAAAAAATTCAACTAATCTTTTCTAAAAGCCTGTATACATACCTTCCAGCAACTAGCCAGTTTAAGAAGTTAACAAAAGTTCTTCCTATCTGGGAAAAGGAATTTTCTCTCTGTTTTACAAATATTTCACAATGGTGATTTAATTTCTACGTTAAATTTCCACTTTTAATTTATAGGATTTTTAGATGGAAATTCCTGAGAGAAAGACCAGTAAGTGAACTAACTTAGTAATCCAGAATTTCATGCAGAACATTTTTGTTTGAAAAGGCTAATAAGACTCTTCTGTAAGAGGAAAAAGCTTACAAAAATTTATATAAATTCTAGACTAATATATTATGCGAGATGGGAAAAAAGAACTATAGATTAATAAAATTTCTATAAACTCTAAAACAGCCATTGATACTTCAACATACCAAACAAGCAACTGTTTGCTTTCTTTTTGAACCTTTATATCCAATTCTGGTGTTTCAATTTAATTAGAAATACAGACCCCCAATAATACCTAATAACAAGATACTTCCTTCAATTAAGCTCAGTCATACTTGCTACATGTAATCAGCTAAAACAGTTGTCTTTATAGCACACTACTAGTTGTTACATTTGACTCATATTACAATAAAACAATATGTGGAATATTTTCCCATTCCTACAATACGTTTTCATTAAATGGTTGGGCATCAATTAAATACTTAATTTTGAAAATGTTACAATTATCCAATAACATTTAAAACAACACTGCTCAGAAACATAAAATATTGAGTGAAATATGTACAATGACAAGTCAACCATCCCAAGGTAATCCTAATCAATCTTTTAATCAGTAATATGTAATTTCCCTCAATTTTCTCTGTAAGTAGTTACCTACGTTGCCCTTAATCCTTTTCCCATCCCCATTTTCAGCCTGCACAGTCTAGAAGTGTACAATAAACCAAAAACCTTGTTTGGAAAGTCATAGAATTATAGTGGTACCTCAGTTCACGAATGCTTCTGTTTGCAAACAATTTGGTTTGCAAACAGAAGTGTTTGGCACAAATTTTTGTTTACAAACTCTGCATCGGGTGATGAACAGGACTGCAGCCATCTTTCCCACATGAATTTGAATGTAGCCATCTCTTCCAGAAATACAGAACGAATTAAGTCCATGAACCAAGGAACCACTCTAAGAGTTTCTTTTAAGTACCATATTGTAAAAGAAAAACTAGAGATAGGATTTAAATTTGTATTTGAGGGGGGAAAGCATAGAAGCAAAAGGAAAAGTTATAACTGGGAAAAGGGAATGCAAGTGAACACCATAGTTAATCTATGAAAGTTCAACAGAATTTGTGCCAGCAAGTGCAAGCACTTGGGAATACTATATATAAAAGTATACCAAAAGACGTATGAATTGTCATAACCAAATCTGAGTTGTTTCCAGTGATGACGGAAACAACAACAGCAACAACAAACAGAACTGATTAAATTATTTTAGATCAAATTATTTTAGATCAAACACTAAGGCAGCACCAGAAAAACTGTAGATGTGAAAGGGATCTTAAGAGGTCATCTAGTCCAACCCCTTCCATTTTACAGACAAGGAAATAATACTGGATAAGGTAAGAGACCTGTTTAGGCCACAGAATTACAGCTGAGACCAAAAGCTCAATCTCTTAACCCTTGTCGAGCTCTCTATACTAGATCATCAACAGACTTCAGAAAGTAAGTGGGATGGACTAGATTAGTGGCTCTCAGCAGTTCTAATCATATACTATAGAAACCCAAAGGCTATTCTACCCCTGAAACTGACTACAAATATAATACTCCAAGATATTAATGCCTTATCAACTATTATAGAAACTATAGTCTCCAAGACTACCTCTAACAGAGGTAACCCATCAAATGAAAGCTTAACTGAATCAACTGTTTAGCAAAAAGGTCTCAGTGACTGAGGAGACTACTAAGAGAGACTTTTGGAAAATTGATAAGAATTAACAAGGGAGGTAACTGTCACCTCATTATTGGAGATTTAAGTATGCATTCATTCAGTATTTCATTCAACAGACACCTGAGTGCCACATAAGCCAGGCTTTATGATAAGCACTATAGAGACAAGATGAATAAGACATGGTCCCTTTCCTAGAGGAGCTTGGAATGTAGTGGGGAATACAGACATAAAAACCAATAAATTGTATTACAACATAATTGGAACAGAGATATGAACAAACTGCTGTATTAAGAGGGAGTTGAAAATCTAAAGTGCCTAATGACCAAGAAGTATACTAATTTTGTGTAGTATCTTTGAGGCAACAACTAGCATGTTTATTATAAACACAGTGTTATGCTCAATCAATATTAGGAAGGAGGCAGCAATGCAGTTAAAGATAAAAAGTTGGCACTGTATTCAAAATAGGCCTTCTACTCACTAACTATAACTCTGGGTAAGTCATTCTATTCCTGCTAGCCTAAGCTTCCTTATCTGTAAAATGGTAATTAACAACTACTTTAAAGAGCTACCTTAAATTTTAAAGAAAACATGAAACTACATGTAGAATACTAGCATTTAAAATCCAACAGCAACATAATACTGATATTTGTAATTAAAATATATTAATGCTTATATAAAAGTATAAATGCAAACCTAACTAATAGTGGTTTCTTAAATCATACTTTGGGACCAAACTGAAACACTGAGTCTTTTGATTCACTCAAGACAACACAGCTTACAACATTTTAAGTTCTAGGTTACTAGAGAATTTTAGGCTAGGGAAATTGATTAGCTACTTATGGACTGAAATAGAACCGGTAATTTAGTTACATTGTAAGGTTAGAATTTACTAGTCAAATTAGAGAGGCAAAACCATCACTGAGATTTAACTGGCCTTTGAAAGATTTACTTTCTTTATAATACCTGTTTGGTGTAAAGAGAAGAAACGTGAGCCTCTGCCAATTTGGCACCTTTCACGACTACTAAAAAGAAAAGAAAACAAACTTACCTAATGAATCAGAATATCACAGTCAATATATAAAAAACTACATAAAAATATAGCATGGATCTATGTTTCTGAGTAAAGTTAGTATTTTGAAACTGAAATCTGACTTTGAGATTTTAAATATAAATGTGCACCGACTGTAAGTCAAATACTCCTATGAAATGGTACTACCCTCAAGAACATAGAACTTTAACCCCAATTGTAGGGGAAAGATAAGAAAAACAAAAATATACATAAGTTACTCCACTGCCAGAAGAGTGTGGTGGTGATAGAATAAGGATTTTGATTTTGAAGACCCCAACATGGAAGAAAGTGGTATTTTAATGTGTTTAAAAAAATATTATCACTATAATCTCAAGAGAGGCAGAAATACTTGCAACACTTGTAATGATGGATTTTAAAAGAGAAATATAATAATCCCCCCTCATTCTACAAAGAATATATTTATTTCCTGAAAACTGCTATATCAATTTTCAACGATCATATTCACTAGCCAGAGAAATTCACTTAAAAATCACAATATTGTTGCAAATGTCAAAGATTTTTATACAAGTATAGGAAATGCACACTTAAAGTATCAGACTGGAACACTTACCAACAGTGTTTTCCTAAAGTAGTATCTATAGTACATTTCTTTATTCATACATCTTCAAATGGTCAAGTTTTCTCTCATACATCCAAAATGTAATATGATGCTTTCTTATTCACCAAATGTTAGCTCTACTTGAAGTCTGGTTCCAAACTAATCAGTCTGCTTTTAAATTTTAAGACATCTGTTGAAAATTTATAGGATCAAACCAAACTGAAGTGGTATAAATTTTAAACATTGGACTGTACATTATTATTATAAAGTTACCAGTAACCATTATTAAGAGTAAGTTAGTGATTATAGCTCCTTTTGTGATAACTGGGGGAAAGGGTACCAATCACCATCTGGAATGGTCTATTTATTGTTTATTTTAATTTTTTTCTTTTCTTTTTTTTCTTTTTTTTTTAAATCAAGGAACATTGTCTTAGTCTTTTTTTTTTTTTTCTCATTGCTTTTTCTTTTTTTTCTTTTCTTTTTAAGAGACCATTCCACTTTATTTTTAACATCCAGATGCATAAGGGCTCATATGTAAAGCAGTCATACACCATTATCATTAAAACCCATGTGGTAAAATACATACACAAGTCCAACAAAAAGGCTAATACATAGTAAAGCCTAAGCATACTACTATGTAATATTATGAATACATAACTTGGAAACTTCAGTTAGGTACTATGTTATCTATTCATTTTTGAAAACATTCATCAAGATTTTAAATGCAAATTCATTCCTTATTTGGACTAAAACAAAATCCTCTAAATTATAACAAGTGTTGGGTCTTAAGTTTTCAGACCTATTCATTAAATTACAAAGAACCCAAAGAATTCTGTAATGTTCAGTAGAAGTATGTAATAAAAACATTGCATATGTTCTAGTGTGATGTCTTTAGCAATTGTTTACTGAAATAAAATGCAAACATCAATCTTTTCAAAATACAGGATCAGAAGGTATTTTTCTTCTCTTTTGTCTATTTGTGAAATCCATCTTCATCACGTTTTACCAAAAATTGTTTTACAAATATGTAAAAGTACATTAGATAATACTAATGAAACACAGGTAGAGTTCTAGCATATGCAGATCAATGATCAGTCAAATCATCTTCTCCAAGAACGAGATTCATTGTCCTCTTCTTCTTCATCATCATCTTGAAGTAATGAGTCATCCACCAAAGACTCTTCCTGAAACTTTAGGTTAAAATGTATTTAGGAATTTACCCAAAAAAAAAAAAAAAGAAGAAAAAGAAAAACAGGTGACACTTTTAAACACTGATCTTTCTCTGAGTTGAATACAAAAGGTATTTATCTAGCTAGAATATTAAAGAAACAAAAAACAATCTTTAGCCAAGAATTTCTCTACAGTATCTATACCACCGCTTGCATGAAACAGCACTGAAGAAATGCCAAATTAAGACTTTACACATGCCATATTTCCTAATGCTAATTATGCCATCTTCTGTCCTTCAAAATATTGCTCAACACTTTTTAGAAAAAGAAAACATCAGTTTTCTCTGACCTTAACTCTGAACACTGAATCAACAAATAATTTTGTATAAAATTCTACCATCATTTGTTTCTTTTCTGCTATATGCACATTTTCTTTTACAGCATTCCTTTCTTTTCCCCATTTCTTTGATAAACGTTTCTCAGACTGCTTGTCCAAACTTTTCAAAATACCTAATACCAGGAGCTCGCCTGCATTTCTCCCCATTCAATTCAAACTCCTGGAAGGACAAAGGTATAATCTAAAATATAAAATGACAAATCATGTATATGAGTTTCAAAATACACATTTTATTCTTGCATTTAACTATGGGTATGTATAACAGCCTTCAAGTGCTCTTCAAACAAAATGAAGTGCTATTAAGAAAAACTAACGAAAGTAAAACAGAGTCATTTAGTTTCCTCACCTTACCTTTATTTCTGAACTTCAACTTTTCCTATACTTTTTTTTTTAATAAGCAAAACAGAGTTGCTTACTTTTAACTTTTTGGTTTGCAAGGGCTCTTTCAGTTTACTGTGCTATATGCTCACACCTTTCAGCCATCAGAGTAACAGCTGTTATGCAAGAAAAATGCATTCTTCTATACCTATCCTGAAGCTTATGCTTCTGCTTAAAATACATGCCCCAGCACTTGATGATGGAAAGCTATTTTATTTTTTAGGGCCCAGTTCCACTGTCAATACCTCCTTCAAGATTGTTCTAGTCCGAAACAATCACTTCTTCCTCAGGGTTCCCACAGCATGTTGTTCAAATCTTTATTCAGAACATCAGTCTGCCTATTACTGTAATTAGTTTTTTATGTATCTGCCACGACCCACCTTTCCAGATTATAAGCTCCTTGATAATAGGGACCGTGTCTTATTCATTTTTGTGCCTTTTACAGAATCTACCATATAGCAGGTATTCATTTTAATGAACTAAAACAAGATAAATTAAAAGAAAGCTAACATGTTAATATAGCAATTGAGTAGAATAGATACCTTAAAACTTAAAATATTACAAAATTTCCTGTGGATAAAAATCTAATGAATAAATACTATCTTCTAAGAGTCAACAAAAATTTGTGTGTGTGTACGTGTGTGTGTGTGAGTGAGTGTGTGAGTGAGTGAGTGAGTGAGAGAGATTTTCATATATTCTTTTTGGAATATAGTAATCAACAGTTCATCTCATTAATGCAGAAAATTTAAAATTTATCTGTCGAATATAGCTCAGGAATAAGTTTTATGTCAAAAATCACAACCTTAAAAAAAAAAATCACATTTTATGTGTACACTATGAATAAGGCAAGAAAAAGTGGAAAACAAAACATACTTCCTCTTCATCAGGCTCAATTTCTTCTGTTTCCACAGTTGAAATATTAGTTATGGGTTTATTCCAAGCCAGCTTTAGATCCTGCCCTTTGAAACGAGCTCCATGAACTGCAGCCTAAAACAATTAAGAACATTGGTGTACAGAAAATGAGTACTTTCTGAAGAAAACACTTTAATGGAGCCTAATATTTTAAAAAATAGCTGAACTCAAATGAAGATAGCTAATTTATTTGCTTTTAGGTTATTTGCTACTATTATAATTTACTTTTTATGGTATTTACTTCTAAAATCAGACTAGGGATTCCAAATACTTTTTCAAAAAAAAAAAGTATTTCTCATAATTGAGTAAAATTATTTTACTACTGCCCAATGTTTGACTGGACAAAATGTATTTACAAGTTTACAATACAATGATAAATACTGTTTATAATCTCGAAGCACTTCAAGACCTTGACAGCAGCTTCTGAATCAATGATTAACAGGCTAAATGAATTTTACTGTATTAAACTGTTAATTTACAAATGTTTTAGTAACTATTAACTAAAAACCTTCAAAAAGGAACAAGTTTACATGTAAAGTATATTATTTTTAAGTCATTATCAACAATCACGACTTCAACAAAAGGTTTGCTATGTCACTAATACAAAACATAAACATCTCAATGAAGAGCGGGGAAAAAACTAAAATTTTCTATTGAAAGTATAGAAATTCCTACTAAGCTCTTGTAACTGAATATGTTGAACTTAAGCACATTCAAGTCAAGTAACTGCTACATCAAGTGGCTGGTTTAGAAACTGCACTCAAATTAAAAGTAACATGAATGAACATAAATCATCTTAGCAACATACCTAAATAACTCACACTCACAAAAGATTTACAGTACAATCTCAAAGTACAGTATAATGTGAAACGTAGAAACAATTACATATTCAATGTCATCTGAACGTAAGTTGAGTGATACTGAAGTTTCCAGATTTAACTTTTCAATCAGCACATATAAATTTATGATAAATTTAAAAGATTTCATACTCATTAAAATGCAGCTCATAGTTAATAGCTTCATCTCAGTATCACACAGCAAAAATTTGTAAGCTATAATCACTAAAGTTTGTATTACTATAAAGAGCTGCAATTATCTCACACAAAATGTCTACTCATAAAACTTTTTTCTAAAAATTTCTTTCATTAGTGTATGTTTCTGATACATAACAAATATATTCAGCATGCAGCACTGGTACACATGTATCAAATCTTGATCCTTTTTACTTTCCCTTCTGTGATCTTTCATTGAGCTAAAAAAAAAAAATTAACCTAAAAAGCAAAAGGTATCACTAACATTTTCTACAAATAGTTTTTTCTTTTCAGTACTGGGGACTAAGACCTTCACACTGAACTACATTACATCCCCAGCCTTTTTATAACGTTTATTCATTTATATTAAATAGTTTATTTGTGTGCATACATATATATGTAATACCTGAGATTTACATTCATTCTGGGTGATCAGTACACATATATATCTAATCATCTGTTATCCCTGTCCACTCCTTTTCCCTGATTTACTCACACTCACTTAAAAAGTGTGTCATTATTTTATTCTGTATGGATTAATTTCATTTTGAGACCATAATGTTAAATAAGTAGTTAAACAAAGAAAATTAAATATAGCACGGTTTCTCTCATATGAGAAAGCAAGTTTTTATTTTTCAGACAGGGTTTCCCTAAGTTGCTGAGAGTTAGGCTTAAACTTAAATCCTCTTAGGGTGCTAAGATTATAGGCATGCATCACTGAAAAAATCCATTTCTGATTAAAAAATCTCCACAGCTTTTAATAAACAGGTATAGTATATATGTATCTTAACACAACACAGCCAGCATCATACATATTATTAAAAACACTACGCACATTCTCATCCATTTCCTAAGTAAAAGATTATTACTACTAATGCTCTTGACATTTTTCTGAGGGTACTAACAAAAAAACAACAGAAATAGTAGGTGTGAAAATGTAAGCAATAGCAGTAATACTACTATTTACCAACGGTATAATCAAACTGACAACTGAAAAATCTGAGAACAAAACTAAAATCATCAAAAGACAAGATGGCAGTTGCACATTTAATAAAAACAGATGAATAGTTTTTCTATATTCAAATAATCAAAATATAATGGAAGTAAATATTAAAAATAGCAATAAAAAGACCCTTTACTATGGGTATACACTGTCCACATAAAGTAAACCTTAAAACTAATAAACAATATATACTGCTTACACAGAAAACTTTTAAAACTTTAAAATTCCTTAGAGATTAAGATTGAAAATTTCACAGATGATGATATTGAGGACAATTTAGTATTAAGATGCTAATTCTCCCATCAATTATTCTATTGCTTTGGAACCAAGTAAGCTGACTCTGAAATTTGATATACATAAAATACACAAAAGAAAGATTCTAAAAATGAATAAATGGGTAAAACAGAAGAGCCCTGAGACTTAAGATAGAGAATTAGATAAAACAAAGGGCATATGAAGAGAAAACTCAAAGAACTCATAACATACCCAAATAAACAAACAGAAATATGTATATATTACTTCATATAAGCTTGGAAAAAGTTAATTCCTTCAATGAAATCGGCAGGTACCCTACTTTTGCTCCTTACGCCAAATACCTTTATTTCATCAAGTTTTACAAAGTGAATATAAAATCTAAAAACGAAGTATAAATATGCAAAAGAAAATATGTATCATCTTATATTAATAAAAGAAAAACTACACAAAAAGAGTAACTGGACAGTTAACTATTACTACTGCTATTATACAAAGTACAGTATAAGCAGGATTTTCTAAAAATGTAACATATGGGTAGGGAGTATAGCTCAGTGTAGAACATTTGCCTATACTGACTGTGGGTTTGATTCCTAGCACCATAAAAATAAACAAAACTAACCTAAAACTAAAGGAACTTACCATTTCCTAACATACAGTAGATGCCCTTTACCTATGGTTTTACTTTCCACAGATTTAGTTCATCTCAATCCAAATATATTAATGAAAAATTCCAGAAATAAACTATTTTTAAGTTTTAAATTGTTATGAGTAGCATGATACAACCTCACATTACTACTCCATTAATGGCTAACTTTTTAGAGCTTTTAAGGATAAACAGCCCACAGAGGCACACACGCCATTTCTCTACCACTGTACTCTACCCCACCTGGGCTGTGAATCACCCACTGGTCCAAAGTATCCATGATGCATACACTACCTACCCTGGGAAAATCAGATGTAACTTTCATTACAGTATGTTATACTTTTCTACGTTGAATACACATTATGGCAAGAAAGCGGACAAAAAGCACTCTCACACATCTTTGTGGGCTATTCAAATGACTACAACCAATGAAGATGGCAACTTTAGATTATTCAACAAAAATGTAAATGTATCACCCAGCAAGTTGCTGTCATGAGAAAGGTGAGTTTTTAGCATGGAAAAAGGAGATAGAGATTATAAAACCCATCAGATAGGTAAAAACAATATGGTCCACAGCTAATTTAAAAGTATCAGAATGACTTCTGGGTATATCTTTTTCTCACCTACCCATCTATATAAGTGGATGTATTAAAAATCATTAAAAGTGCAATATTTATATGACTCTGAATTCTTTATTCATATGTATACATATATGTACATTTAAACTGTACATGTGTATTTTTATCCCTCAGCTCCAACCACTGAATAATATTAGTAAAAACAACACACTTTTGTTAAAAACAAAGAATTTAACCAGGTGTGGTGGCCCACGCCTGTAATCCCAGCACTCAGGAGACTGAGGCAGGGGAATCATAGTGAATTCGAGACCAGCCTGAGCTACTAAGTGAGCTCAAGGCCAGCCTGAACTGCATAGCGAGACCCTGCCTCAAAAAGACAAAAACAAAACAAAACAAAACAAAAAACAAAAAAAAGACTCCTCAGAGAAACTGCACATTCTGTATCTGGAAGAGAAAATGTATAAAGTGAACCAAGAATATCTTTTCATATCACAAAACAAGGAAATTGTCAAAAGCTGATAGGATCCTGTCAAAAGGTTTCAGAAACCAACCAGTTTATAGTCTCCTACTCGCTAAAGATGAGACAATTTGAACATCAGTGACAAAGGATCAATGACCATGAAATGACTAAACTGAAGAGTTCATGACCATATACATAATACCAAGCTATCTTAAAATATGAACTTACCCAGATCTTAAAGTAAAAAACAGAAAATCAGAAATCTAAGCTATCACTGGATATTTACTATTTAGGAAGTATATTTAGGCATGATAGTAGGTTGATACACACACATTGAAAACATACACTGAAATGTTCAGAGAAGAGACATGATTACTGGGAACAGCTCCAAGATAAGTGGGGAGAGTTGTAGTGACTGAGATACAACAAAGTAAGATAGGTCCTACGTGAACACCGCTGAAGCTCAATGATGAATATATGGGATTCTAATTTTTATACTACAAAGTGCTAGAAAAGTCTGTTTAAAGCTGACAGTAAAAAGGCTTCATGAAAATCTGACTAAGGAGAAAAAACTCTGCAAAGTAGTTACAAGATGGGTTCTATATCTTACATGGAAAATGGTTCCAGAAAGAATGAAGTTTGAAAAACAGCTCTGATGTGCAAAATTAAACAAATTTACTTTCTGGATTCTCAGGTCATTTAGTTTGTGATTCCAGATGTACAACACACAATCTTTCACAAATGTTTTGGACAAGAGAATCCTTTCATACAGAGGTTCTCACAGAAGAAATGCTCTGCAAACTCGGGTGAAAACAACCAACGCACAGATGCTCACGTAAAAGTTACAGTTAATGACCACTAATGTAAAAAAAAAATGTAAAATCTAAATTGTAGAGTTTACAGAAGAAGACTTCCATTTCTGTAACTTTTGAATTTAAGGTATTTTGTCACCTGTTCATAAGCTTCAAACCTAGATTTAACTCATTTTAGTAGCACCATGCCAATCATGTAGCAGTACTTAGTAACACATATTACAGAATTATGTTTTTCAATTTACTACTATGCCAAAATATGCTATTTGTTAAATAACAAAAATCAGAGAAGGCTTATATTTCTCTGATTTTCTTAAAAATTTTAATTTTGTTTGAAGCAAGTTCCAGCTGGGTGTGGTGGCACACACCTGTAATGCCAGCACTCAGGAGGCTGAGGCAGGAGGATAGCTGCAAGTTCAGCACCAGCCTGGGTTACACAGTGAGTTCAAGGCCAGCCTGAATTACATAGTGGGACCCTGTCTTGAAAATTAAAAAATGAGAAAAGAAAGCTCTACATATGGTTCATATTTCAACACAGGGTCCTTGGTATTATACACACACACACACACACACACACACACACACACACACCCCTCTATGTACTTTACTTTTTTACTGAATTCACTTACACAGTTATTCTTATAAATTTACCATTAACTTGACACCTTCAACTTCTAAGTGATTTTGCACTATATACTCTATGAACCCAATTCTGTACTTCTAATTTAAGGTTTACAAGTAAGTCTTAGTATCATTTATTCTATCTCATCTTCATCCTATTTCACTATTTTACCAATCATTCCTCATTTTGAAAAATAAGAATAAAGGAAAGTACAGGGTTTTTTAATATCACAAAGAATCTTTCTACTGACAGTTGTGACACCCAGTTCTCAACTCATTTCTCAACTCTCAGTAGTTGTGAGGATTTACTCATTTAAAACATGTAATGTACTTAGTGCATGAGACACAGTAAACCTCCAAACTGTGAACTACATCATAAACCTTTCCTTCCTTAATTTTGGGCACTGGGTATTTTGTTTCAGCAGTGAGAGAAAAGTAACCAAGTCAAAATTTGGTGCCAAGAGTGGGGCCATTGCTGTGACTATACCTGACCATGTGGTTCAACAGCCTTTAAAATGGCTTGTGAGAAGAGTTTAAAAAGATTCAGAGATTTCATCTAAAAGAGTGCTAGAATGCCTTGGGCTATTCTGTATATAAGATTCTGGTCAGAGCGCAAAAGAACAAAAGACTGATAGAAATTCAGCTGGTAAGGATCAGGCTTGGGAGGTTTTTGCTAGAAAGAACTGCATTGGTTGCTGGACTCCGGATGACGTGTGTTATGGCCAAGCAGAAAGTATGTTTGGATTTTGCTCATGCCCAGAGACTTTGCCTGAGACTAAGGTTAAGGGCGGTAAAAATCAAAAGCAAAGAGCCCAGTAAGATAATTTTAAATGTTATGAGTATGGCCAGATAAAAAGCTCCAATACAACTGTAAACTACTAAGATAAAGCTGAGGAGATTGCCACTGCTTAAAAAAAAAAGAAAAAGAAGGCTTCAGGGCATCACAAAATCAGGTTCAGAATGCTCAGCCATCCAGGTACTCAACCCCTACAGCAAGAAAGAAGAAAGCCTGGCTACTTCTCCACCTGGCAGTAGACCTTGGCATTACCCACATGGTGGTAGTTTTAGGTGCACACAAAACACAAAAGTTCTGAGGTTAAAAAGATTTCCACCCCAATTTCAGAAGGCCTGGGAGGCCAGGCAGTATGCCCCTGGAGGGCAGTGTGTAAAGCTGTAAGTGTAAAGCCAAAGGTAAAACAGAGACCCCAAAAGTTTAAAAAAGCCAAAAACGTGGATCATTGAAGAAAAGCTGCACAGGGAGCAAAGCAGTCCTAAGAAACAAGCTGTGAGAGCTATAACCACCAAAAGTGCCACAGGGTAAAGTCGTCACACAAACCCTTGAGAGCTCACAACTTGCCAGATTCCTTCAAATGCTAGATGTAAAACTACAGGATAATGTTCGTCCTGCTAGACTTTGGACTTGCTTTGTTCCCAATCCTTTATATCACCCCGTTTGTAACTTTTAAAATAAAAATGTTTATCTTGTGCCATTAAATGTAATTTTTGGGGGGAAGGTACCAGGAATCAAACTCAGGACCATGTACTTGCCAGTAGGTGCTTGTGCCACTGAGCTATATCCCCAGCTTGTGCCATTAAATGTTAAAAATATTTAACTTTGTTTTCATTTATACAGGGGCTTACAGCTAAGAGTTTGCCTTAAATCTCAAAAAGAGACTAGAAACTTAAGACCTTTCAGCAATGCTAAAACTGTTAGGACTTTGGCAACTCTTGCAGACAGACGGTCTAAATGCTTTTGCATAAAGGGTTGTACGTGAGTGTTTGGGGGTCCAGGGGCAGAAATGTTACGGCTCTAATATAATATAATGTTGACAGACTTAATACTTGTTCTCCAGGATTATTAAACCTGTGTTATAATGTTCAAGTTGTAAAATGATAAAAATAATATCTTTATAGCTAAAAACTGGTTTTAAAAATGTATCTGCCAGGTGTGGTGGTACAAGCCCATAATCCCAGCACTTGGGAGGCTGAGGCAAAAAGATCACTGTGAGTTCGAGACCAACCTGGGCTACAAAGTGAGCTCAAGGACAGCTTGAACTGCATAGCGAGACCCTGTCTCAAAAAGACTGAAAAAAGAAAATGTGTCTGGTTACCAAGTTGACAAGGAGTAGACTGTCATGGCTAATAGACTGTGTCAACTTGAGTATAAAAGCTTAACTAAGTAACTCAGCAGTTCTGCATCCTGGGGTGAAAAGGACATGTCCTTAGCACTCGAGGATGTTGTTTATTTGTCAACTTGAGAAGTTCAGAAGTGATGGAACAGGGGCAGGGTCCTTACTCTGTACCATCCTGAGCCTGTGCAAGAGGAGGGTATGGAGACAGTCTGAGTGCTGCTACTTCCCCTGGGTTGGGGTAGCCTGCTTATAATACAAGGGAGAAAAAGAGGCTTGTCCCCCCTGCCACCCCCTTGTGTTCTTGCTGCTTTTGCTGTCTTCTGCCACTGTAGACTGTTGCCCCTGTGCCCTGCCATGCTGCCTTGGAGCCAAGTGATCACAGACTAAAACCTCCACAAACTGTGAGCTAAATAAACCTTAACTGTGGGCGTTGGGTATTTTGTCTCAGCAACATAAAAAAAAGGAACCAAGACACCCCCATAACTCACTCCCTTTTTTTCCTTAAACCAATCTTTTAAATCCAAATGAAAGATAAAACACAGATACTTCCAGTCAGTCTTTGGAAAGACAATTCAAGATATACAATTTAAAAAACGATACTGAAGAGTACTCTAAGAGCTAAAGCTATACTTTATACGTTGGGCAAATAATTGTAATGATCTATTTCAGGATATGCTGAGCTAGTGACACTTCTTCAGAATTCAACCTGCTAGGGCTTGGGAGCAGCACATGAGGGATAAGCAGGGCAGACATCAGGATTTTATTCTCCCTCATCTATCTTAATCCTCACCACTTTAGTATTCTGCAAAGTACAATTTTGTTCTGGGGCAGTCAAAAAAAAAAAAAATTTCCGTCTCCAGACAATACAATTTGACGTTCAACTTAATGACTAACTATGTATCTATGTATACATTCTATCCTGTTACATGTCTAAATGGATTAAGATACTCTTAGTGGGCATGAATTCAAATACTCTACCTTCTGTGAAGACATAGTTTATTTAGTATATTTTAGAATTCATTTATATTAAAACTTACAGGCAATATTAATCATGTGAATTTTTGATAAATTATTTTAATACTTACTGCTTCTGCTTCTGCTCTTGTCTTGAATGTAATTACTGCATGAAGTGACGAGTCATCAATTTGATAATCTTCAATCTCACCATATTGCTTTAAATGTAAAAAAGTATTTACCCCAAATAAGTATTTTGAAACATCCAAAAATTCTAAAGACATTAAAATACTGGTAAGTATAACCCAGAATATGTAATAATTCTTATAGGTTTCCAGAAAAGAATGGTGAATAACTCATTTTAGTACTTAACATTGTTAGATAAAGGATGACTCTATCTTCTAACCTTATTTCCAATGACATACTTTCCCAAATTAGTGAAACATTCAATTTAAGTACTCTTTAACTGAAGCCAATGGTCAAATCTGAGCTTCTTTATTGACCTTTCATCTTTATGTATTACTCAGTCCCAGGACAAACTAAATTGTTTCTTAAGCAGCACACTGAATCTTTAAGAAATTCTCTGAATTTTTCAAATAATCTCCAAGGGGGGGAGGTTTCAGAGAATTTCAATCGTTTTGTCAAAGTAATAAATTACCAAGATGAGGGCCCAGGCCTTCTGATTTGAAAGTTTAACATTCGAGCTGACCATGCGAACTTGCTATATACTCTGTCATAACATATATTCTTTTAAGACATTTAAAAGCTAAACATGTTATATTATGCCTGTTTTTGGCTTGTTGGGTTTTTCCCCATGTGTGGCAAGATTTTTCTAGAACAGCAGCTTTTATCACATAAACTTTATATATCACTAGTCCTTTATTAATACATTCCTTCTTATTGAAAAATAAAAATTATAATCTCATTAAATACACACACAGAGGAAAAATTCTGTAGAGCACAGTAGAGAATACTCTAGAGCCACTCATATCCCAGCTCTGGCAGTTAACTGTATAAACCTGCACAAGTTACCTAGTCTCTTCATGTTTTGTTTTCTTCATATCTAAAATGGACATAATAAAGATACCTGTGTCACAGGGTGGTTCAAACAAAACCTAGTAACACTGAGTTATTTTTAAGCCTTAAGGCACTCAGAATAACAACTGCTATACAATATGTGCTTTATAAATTTTAGCTGTAAGTTTTATTACTATTACTGGTCCTAATGGATAACACTAGCATTATGTTAATCACGATTTGTAATAGTCAATGGTCTTTTAATAATGTTAATTTATTTTTCTCTAATCCCTCTTGCATTCAAATCATAGGCTGGGCTGGAGAAGTAAAACTTTAAACTTGAACTCTTACTTAAGACTTGTAATTTCATATGTGAACTGCCAGTGCTAACTTGAGTAGAGCTCAAATCTCAAAGTGGATGGAAAAATTTCCATTGAGAGGCTCTGAATATTTCTCAAATCAAAGCCATCTTAGTCTCACCAAAACACAGTCATAAACTCACCTTGTTTGTTTGGGTATTTTAGTATAGTCATTGTTAGTTTCCTGATCTGCTGTATAACTATATTAAGACGCTTAAGTTATCTGGATTTCCTTTCCTTTGTGGAAGGTGTGGAGTAGGGTACAGAGCAGGGAAGAGCTCGGCTAGTTTATCTCCAAGCTCCTTTCTAGTTCTCTGATTTCTTTATCCCTTTGAGTCCATCAAGCACAGGACTTTCCAGACTCATCCTTAAATGTTAATCATTTTAGTTATTTCTTAAACATCAATCACTTCTTTTAATACCTCCTTATGTTCTGACAAAGTATCTGTTAATTGCTGCAAGCCTGGACTAGGACTGTCAAACACTAAAATCCAAATTTTCAAAGGTTAAATCATCTGTACACTTACCTACAAATTTACTTTTCTTTCACTATCTAATGTCCAGTTTTACTACCTGCTTAAAACTTTCCTCCACTGTTTTTTTCTATCATGTCCGTGTCAAAGATGCTTATCTAAGTTACTAAAACATTTACATTATTTAATAAATTGAAATTCATTATAAATTGTTTATGGCTTACTTTAGTGGGTCTGTGTTAAATCAACACATATAAAAGCCTTCAAGGTAGAAAGAACTATTTGCTTCATATCTCCAGAGTAATTACTATAATGCTGAGGATAAAACTGATGCTTAGTTACTAACCTTTGGGGTATTATAAGAACACAGTATTTAAGATGAAAGAGCATAAAGGTGGGTTAAATCTTTTCCATTCTGCACATGAAACCTAATAAATCCAAGTTCAAGTTAAACTATGGATTGGACTCCATCCAGCCTTTACACAGGCTCTCGAACTATAACCTTCCAATGATCAAGACAACTTTAAGATGATACATCAAAATGTCTTGTTTCAATTCTGGTGAGATGGATCATGAATACAAAATAAATGAAAATCCATTTTAATTTTTTTAACTATTCTGGATAGCCCATGTAATATCTAAAAGTAAACATCAACAAAACTACACTACTGGCTGGCCTTCTCTGTAACAATGATGATTAAATCATTCATTTCAGAATACTTAAGAATTACAGCATTTCTTCTAGATAAAAAAATTGTACAGTTTCAAATTTATAGTTTTTTAAAAGATTATTATGGATAATCAAACCCTTTGTTCAGGTCAATGAGTTTATATTATTCTTGTTTTCATAATTTCCTCTGTATACCAATTATCTCCAGTGATGGTTATCAGTATTTGTTTTGTTGGATAGTAAAAAAGTACCGCAAAATGAGGAAGAAGATCTTCTCTATCACTCTCTGTAAATGCAGAAATCTCCAATGCTCTAGGACGGTGATCCACCACAACATGACCAGGCACACTTCGCCCCCGGCCTCTCCCTCTGCCTCGGCCATGAGCTGCACCTCGACCTCTTGAATGAATTCCCCTACCCCGTCCAGATGAAAGAATCCCCCTTTTAGCAGCCTAGGAGAGATCAGACACATAATTTAAACAATGTGGTACTTAAAATTGAGTATCTTTTATTTTAAGTGTCTAGGACCATAACTGCTTTAGATTTTGGCAATATTTGCATTGACTGTACTAGTGAGCATTCCTAATCCAAAAATCCAAAATTTGAGGTTTTAGATTCTGGAACATTTTAGATTTCACTAATTTCTCCTAATAATGAATAGAATTACTGTGGTAATCATGCATCCACTGGAAAATACTACATGATTGCATGCACTGACTGTAAAATAAACTCAAACTATCGTAAAAGAAAAATAGAAACTCTCATTTAATATTTAGCTATGTAATAATAGGAAGAAAAACATCACTGAGTAATAACAGATTTTAATAATGCCATCATTTACTATAATTTTAGGCCAGAGTCTTTTTTTTTTCGGTCTTTTTGAGACAGGGTCTCACTACACGGGCTGGCCTTGAGCTAACTTTGTAGCCCAGGCTGATCTCAAACTCCCAAGGATCCTCCTGCCTCAGCCTCCCAAGTGCTGCGATTATAGGGATGTGCCACTACGCCCATAGGCCAGAGTTTTTAAATGATACTTTGTTTTGTTTTTTTTTTAATGTCAACAGTAACATGAAATCTCCAGAGTAGAAAAGCACAATTTCTACACTAACGTAAAAGAAGTATTTGAAACCTTGTATCTTGGGTGGAACACACACATACTTAAGTTCCAGAGAATGCAAACAAATGCAAGTTTAGGATAAGTTCCTAAACTGCTTCTGACTCTCAGATAAGACAGGGCCTTCGGACAAGGTGAATAGCTGCTAAAAGTTAAGTTTTTTAATACCTGAATTACCAGTACTCAACAGATTTCTACTGTGTTGGAAAAACAAAAAAAATTTGAAGTATTACAATCAAGTTGAACAGAGTAATATACAAAACTTTAAATTACTGTATCAATGAATAAAGACATGTCCCTAATGTATAAATCCTATTAATGTCTCTGTACTTCAAAACATAATTCTAACTTTAAATATCTTTCTGCTAAATATTAAAAACTCTCATGTCGTATTATACACACCAATTTTGCCAAGGGTTTCTCATATAAATACATGTAACTAAATTATAAGAAAGTGGTTTATTTTCTCTTTTAAAACACCTGCAGCACCATCTATAGGCAAAACTTAAGTAAGCACACTTTTTAATATAGTTCTATCCCTGAAAGTCTGCTCTTCACACCAAGTCAATATAAGCCTGTACATGCAAAAAGTATCTCCAAAGAAGTACCTGAAAAGCCTTTAATAGGTTTTAATTATCAAATGAAAGACCACAAAGAGAAAGAAAAAATTCACTAGAAATGGAGGGACTCGAATGTGTAAGTAGAACCATGACCTCTCCTCATTCAGATTTTTCTCTAGCAGTTCTGAAAAGAAAAACCGTTAACCTCTTCCTTCTCTCCTATGTCAGCAGTCCTCAATCAGAACAAAGGATATACATTTTCAAGTGAACCACTACAATTACATCTACTTTTTTTAAGTGTATGGTATAGCTATGATGAAACATACTTCCAGCTGTAATTCTGTATACTTTCTCCTAAGTTCAGTGACTTCTTCTCCGGCCTGCATTTTCTTATATAAATCCAGTTCTGTGTCAAGTAATTCTTTCTGCATCTAAAAAATAGTAATTAATAGTTTAGGAAACAATATCCTACATTGTAATAAATTTTTCCTAAAAAAAAAGAAAAATCTGAATTTATCATTTTATACATTCCCATTTAGTCCATGTTATGGTTTGTGTCTAGATGTCTCCCCAAAACTTCATGTGTCAGGGCTTTTTCAGAGGTGGCTGAATCTAGAGTTTGTGACTGGCTTCATATGCAATGCTGGGATTAAGGGTGCTGGGATTAAGGGTGTTGGATCACTCCACTGATTGGATTGGCACCACCCTATTACAAGCAGTCTCGGTAAGATAAAAGGAGAAGAAAGGAACTTGTCTTGCTCTCTTTTTGCTTCTGCTGTCTTCCGCCACCATGAACTGTTGCCCTTCTGCCATGTGCTACCCTTCCTTAGAGCCAGCTGATTACGGACTAAACCCTCTACAAACTGTGAGCTAAATAAATCTTTTCCCCTTTAACTTTGGAAGTCAGGTATTTTGCCTCAGCAGCAAGAAAGTTAGGGAATATACACACAGCGTTGGTGGTATGGTGGTGAGCACAGCTGCCTTCCAAGAATATACACACAAATGTATTTATGTAATGCACATAACACAAATAATACACACACACACCTACAAAAAGAAGTATTAGAAGGATAAATTAGAAACTGCAACACTGGTTTCCTATAGCAATGGATAGGAATATCAGGAATCAAAAGGGCCTTCTATATACACCTTTTTATACAGTTTGGCTTTTAAACCATGTTAATGTTTTACTTATTCAAATAATAAAACTAAGTCAATGAGAATTATAGCAAGGAGAAGAGCAATCACAACTGCATACAAACAGAAACAGGTCCAATTTTATCATATTGGTAATATACCCCATCACAGGAGAACGAAAGCAATCCTAGGCTAGTTTTGACATTATACTCTTACTAGAATACATTAAGTTTGTATAGACTGGGAAGAAATTTTGAATTTAAATTTAGTTATTGTAAGTAATACTATTCTAGCTATTTCCCAACTATTTTGAGTTTGATAGGGGTGGTGTCAATACACTGATACCAGTAGGACTATACATATGGAATAAAGAGTGAAATCATGTGGTGTTAGATTAAAATCAGAAGTAAGTATCAATATTTTACATATACCAACACAGCAAGTACACATGTACCAAGTATAAATAGTGTATATTTCTGTATTATCCCTAACCACTTTTTATCATCCAAAATTACCTTGCTCACTTGTCTGTATCTAGCAGATTAATCTACTCAAATTTTTCCTTTTCCAATCAATCCGTTCTGTATAGTGCTGTTAGAAAGTTACTTCTCATGAAAAAAAATCAGTCACCAATGTTTAAATATCACATTGTTTCTCTGATGTGAGAGACCAAAAGGGTAAATAAGGACCAAAATGTATAATAGTTACTGTGAAATAGGAAGAACATGTTCAAATGGGAAAGGGAATAAGGGAAGGGGGAGAAGGGAAAGGAAGGAAGGCAAAAGGGAAAGAAGAGATTAGAAGGAAAAAATGGAAACAAGGCATTTGAAAATAAGGAGGGGAAGAAAAGTTGAAGGGATGGGAGGGGATTGGGTGAAAAAGAAGAATCGAGATGCTTCATGTGTAGGTACAAATTCCCTATGATAAATGTGATCATTATGTGTATCTAAAAAAATGCCAATAAAAATTTTAAAAAAAGAATGTTACTTCTGTCATTAACCTTTTATATCACCAACTACTTACACAGATCAAATTCTCCTCTAAAACAATCAAGTACCACACCATTCAATCATTAAATTACCTTTTCAAAAGTACCCATAATTATTTTCCATATTACTGACTTTCTAACAGTAGCTCCACAAGAACCCAAAAGATTAGTAAAGTACACAATGACCATATTTTGGACAAAGGGTATTACCTAAAACTGAAACTTAGAAAAACAATGTTAAAATGTTTTAAAATAGGCTGTGATATGAATAATAACATAACTTAAAATACCTGAGTCTTGGTTTTTACACTTTTCGGAAGACAGCGCCCAGGAGAAGTGGCTTTAACCTCGTCTTTCAACTTGGTAATATTTTTTGTCAAAACTTCTAAAGTTTTCATTATTTCTGCTTTATCTTCAGACTTCATCGCTTTATTTTTCTCTAGTTTTGAAATTAACATCTGTCAATGTTTAAAGAGAAAAACTGTAAGGTACTCTATTACTAACAAAGCAAAGAAAGAATAAAATAAACTCTTTTAGTTTATCCATTCATGATAAAGCTAACTACTACTCAGTATGTAAAGAGCAGAATAGCAGATTTGATGAAGGTAACAGTATCTCAATTCAAGTTTTACTACTAGTCTCCTTCCTTTTAAAGAACTTACTACTATTTAGTTCCCTTAGTATGTAAGCTCAAAGCACATAACTAGAAGAAATTCAATTCAATCCCTGAAAAGTTATGAGTTAGGAATATCAATTTTACTTTCTAATTCATTTGTTGTTATGATGCCTATTCAGTATACTCACTCCAAATGTAGTGTGTAAGCCAGAAAAAAACAGAGAAGATGTAGTGCCTCTTCAATGTAACAAGAAATTAGAAATATTGAATTTATAATTATTTCCTTTGTCATAAGGAACAATAATTGGCTAGCCTGAGAATGATATCCTCAACACAGTAGATAGGAAACAGGATAAGCAAGATGATATGTGTATGTGGGGGATACAGCTCAGTGGCACAGCACATGCCTGGCAAGTGCAATGTCCTGAATTCAATTCCTGATACCCCCCCCACCAAAAAAAACCTGTATGTGGAAGAAATCACACAGTATTATAGGTGTTTTAAATTACAATAGCTTTAATTTTTGATGCAAAGCATTATGATTTCTCTTTATGCAGTACATCTAAATTTAAATTAGAAAACATACATTTCTAATTGAAATGTATTTCCTATATTTTCAAATATTCTACTAACCTTCATTACTAAATATAGTGAAGAATGAACACTAATTAAATGTCATAAATTAGAGCAATACTGCCCAAAGGAAGTATCAGCCACATAAATACTTAATTTTCTAGCATTTACAGTAAAAAGATAAACAAAATTAAAGTGGTAACATATTTTACTTAACCTAAAATATCCAAAATGCTACCTTTAAGCAAAACTTACTGAGATAGTTAACTTTTTTTCCTCTTTATATTACACCTTTAAAATTTAGTGTGTATTTTACACTTGCATCTCAGCTTGGACTAGATGCACTCTGAATACTCAACAGTCAGATGCAGCTACGGCTACTGTATTACACAACAGAGGACTAGAGGACCCTAAGGCAATATAGAAAGGTACAAATCAACATTAAGAAAGCTCCCTTTCCTTAGCTGTTGATCAAACTACTGGGCATCAATACAGCTGAATGAAAACTACCTCATTTTTTTTCCATGTTTATAGCCATAGTTTCATTAAACTATGTTCATTATTTAACGTATGTTCTTCATCCCCAACATGTAATGTTAATATAATATACAATCTGATGATACAATGTCATTGATGAGCATTTCACTTTTATCATGAACAATTAAGTAAATCTGTTTCTCCAACCTAGCTAAATAGTATAAGATTAAATACATAAAAATTATAACATCTGTAGAGCATGTCTTGCCAAACCTTAATTTTAATATTTTACCTTCTGTGTTTCAATGTGCTTTTCTAAAATTTCTTGTTTCCTTTTCCTTACATCCTGCTGAAGTTTCAGTGCCTCCTATAGTCAAGGATCAAAAATATCATTAGAGGGGCTGGGGATTTAGCTCAGTGGCACAGCGCCTGCCAGGCAAGCACGAGGTCATGAGTTCGATTTCCAGCACCAGAAAAAAATAAAAAATAAAATAAAACAAAAATATCATTAGACTATTATCAAGTGATGAAATAACTCCAGAGGAGAAAAGTGGATATAACTGTAAAAGCTTGGTAAAAGAAATTATATGTAAAATTATATGTAAAACTTAAATATGTACGCAAGTTTCAAACAGCAATCAGGAATATTCAATTCAAGGAAAAAAATACAATAGGGGATAAACGTTCAGTAGCAGCCAAGTCTTTAGTTTTATTCTGTGATAAGCTCTTACACACACACACACACGTTTACCCACATGCAATTTTTGTCTGTGCATCACAATAGCTGAACTTACCTGTTTTTTTTTCTGTGCTTCATTATTATCAACCGCAGAAGTGGAAACAAGTAAGGTTTTTTGTGCAGCCTTCAAAGCAGCTGGATTATACACCGTCTTTGTTAGGCCAGTAGATGTAGACAACACCTACCAATACAAATTTAGTACCTTAAAAAATTTATCAACTATTCATAATTTCTAAGTCCCACTGTCCACAGAAAACCTCATAATTTGCACAATAAACAAAATGAACTATGTACTTACAATAATTAAACTATACTTGGTAATATGAAAGAAAGAATACAGAAGAGTAATAAGCCCAAAATAAAAAAATTCCAATTGGCAAATATTTATAGAAATAGTTATTATTAGTGAGTAAAGCAAAAGCTTCACAAAAAGCATGGCACAGAAGAAGCTGGATGCTGCCCTTCAATTTAACATGATCACTCAAAATATGCAGTTATGAAATAAGTGCACTCATTCTCCCTTCCCTTGCTATGTTCCATACTTGATCTTACTCTCTTAAATGTACTGAGGTTTCAGCCTTAACACAATCAAGACCACAAAGCCATGATCACTTCGTTTCTCTATACAGATTCTTTAGGTAAAAACTCTATTAGCTATTTTTAGCTACTACTACCTATTTAGTAAAGATGATTTAATGATGTATTAATTTATATGTCCTCCCTGTCCATACTGCAAAGGTCTTGAAACAAGACCATTTCTCCTTGTGCTTTTAGTACCTAAGTCTTGCTAACCAAACAACTTTAAGACCACAGGCAAGATCAAGTACCATTTTAGGCTGCAGGATGGCCCACTGGTAAAATGAGGAGGTTCAATCTCATGGTGTCTAGTATCTTTACAAACCCCAAAATTCTCTCTTTGAGAGTAGGGATTATTTTTTCACTTGGTTCATTGCTATATCTTCAGTCTAGAACAGTGCCAGGATATATAATAAATATATAAACAGTGTGTCAGTAAACTAAACTCAAATGATTATAGGTTAGAATGGACAATCATTCCTACAACAGGGTTAATTTTTTAAAAAAAGTATTTATAGGCTGCTTTCTATTTTCTTGAAAAAGTAAAATGAACTAAGAGTGGTGGCACATGCCTTTAATCCCAGCACTTGGGAGGCTGAGGTAGGAAAATCTCTTCAAGGGCAGCCTGGGCTACATAGTGAACTCAAGGCCAGCCTGAACTACACAGCAAGACCCTGTCTCAATCAATGCAACAGTTTTAAATTCCATGGGGCGAGGGGTTAATGGTTCTTAAAAAAAAGCCCAGGGATCTTTTCAAGGAAATTTATGAATGCTGTAAAATCTAAACATGAACCCATGTGTATGAACAATGTAATTTTCTAGAGGAAAACAATACTTCTAAAATTAACGGAAGACTATCAGTGAGAAAAAAAGGGCTCTATTTCTAACAATTAATATGTTAACATGTGGGCGTATCAGAGAGAAGTAGCAATCTGGAGACCACTTTCCAATCTTTTATCATGAAAATTAGATTAAAGAACACAAAGTTTAGGCAACTCATCACTACTCTAACTAGGCAACTTAGTGACAGGTAGTGGAGACCCTATGGCAGGCATGCTGCAGCTGCCTAGTAAAAGCTCTAAAAGGTTCTCCATCACTGTAACTTAGCCTCTAGATACTGTAATCATAGTTGTTCCATACAGTACAACTGATGTTTAATAATAAAGGCTCTTAACAATAGCTGTCATGTACCTAAAGTCTGATTTTCATCAATGATAAAAGCTAGTATTCAGATACCAACAGGAATTATGAAATGGCTACATTAAGATACAAACATATTTAGTTTGCAGTCTAACTTCAGTGACCATTCTCTGTAATTCTGAAGAAAAGTATCTGTCACACTACCTTACCACAACACAAAATGCCAAACTGGATTACATAAAGTAGAAGCAGTAACTTTATAAAAGGAAAAACAGTATTGTATGCTGAAAAAAAGTCTGAGAGTACAGTTTTCTTCATGAAGATTCCACAACAGGTTGGAAGTTGTAATCAAAAAAGATTTGTACTGCATACTCAAGTATGTTAGAAACAGTAAATGTCATAACCTTATTTTCCAATGTCAAATGTATACTATCACAGTAAAAACAGTGAGAAACCCAGAAGCAAAGAAAGTTATATTGGATTTAACATAGCATTTCTCTAAATTCACTAAATAGGGATTGTGCCTTTATGAAATATTCTTAAAATCTCTCATCAGACTAAGAAGTGCTCCTTCAAAGGGAATAAAATTATTCGACAAGAATAAAACTCCTTTATCCCTAGAAGCACCATCCAATAACTTCTGTAAAAACAGGACATCGACCCAATAATGTATTTCATTGAGCCTGAGCTTCAAGAACTCAAGATATATTCTCCTTTTATAGTCCCATACATTAAAAAAAAAAAAAAGAAAAAAGGAGCCTACCATTATGATATAAGCATAAATACCAAAAACTGTAACATGCAACCCAAATTTGAAGATGTTAAAATGTAAAACTATGATTGGAAATAATGAACTCTATGATTACAAATACTATTCACAATTTAAATTTTTTTTTTCCAAGTTTAGACTATATACCAATCCCCTCAATGAATTTCATTTATTGCAAACATCTAGCAATAAAAAAAAAGTTCAGATGGTTAAGAGTTTAGATAAGAACAGATATGTGTCCTTCCAAATGACAAAAATTAATGAGAAATAAAATCAATAGCGGGAAGTAACAATCCAAAAGAAAACAAGATGCTATAATTCCTAAGCACAGTCAAAGCTTAGGCAGTGGTGTTTCCAAATAACCACACCTTCTGTATTTTGTGAATGGGTTTTGGTGTTACGGCTTGTGTCCAGATGTCCCCGCGAAGCCTCATGTGGTCATAAATGGGGCTTTTTCAGAAGTGGCTGGATCTAGGGCATGTGATGTTGGGATTAAGGATGTGATTACTAAATTAGTCCCCTGATTGGTTTGGCATAGTTCTGGACAGGATTAAGGGTACACTCCCCTGGGTGTAAGTGCTACCTGCCCTAAAAGTAAGGGAGAGGGTTGCTGGTTGTTGCCTGCTTTGGCTGTCTTCTGTCTGCCATGAACTGTTACTCCTCTATGATGCCCCTTTGCCAAGTCACCCTGCCTTCGAGCAAACTGATTATAGACTGAAACCTCTATAAACTGTGAGTCCAAATAAACCTTTCCTCCTTCAACTTTGGGTGTTGGGTATTTTGTCTCAGCAACAAAAGTAACTAAGTCTGCATGTGCTGTAATTTTTACATATTGACTTTATTTCCAATGACCTCTGTATTTACTATTAATCCAAACTATCTGTGAATTATTTTTGGATAATCTTCATACATAATCATATCATCAGTGAGTAAACTGTTTTGTTTCCTCCTTTCTAATCTTTATATGGCTTATTTCTTTTTCTTGTTTTATTGAACTGGTTAGACCTTCCAGTACAATACTGAAAACGTCATGACAGTGGACATCCTTGTCTTGCTTCTAAACCTGGAGGAGAAAGCATTCATTCAGTACTGCACCACTGAATATAGTGTTTGCCCTAGGGGTGTGTCTGTGTGTGTGTGTGTGTTTGCTGGCACAAATTCTTAGGCATTTTAACTCCTATTTTATAATGTAATGAATTTTATCAAATGCTTTTTCTATTGAGAAAATCATGGGGGAGTTTCCTCTTTTATTCTGTTAATAAGTTAATTAAACTGATTTTCTAACGTTCAGTCAAGTATAAATTTGGGGAATAAGTCTTGTCAGGCCATGAGGTAGTATGTATTTTATGTACCACTGGACATTTGGTAATAATTTATTTAAGTTATTTGTTTCTGTGTTCATGAGAAACACTGTGCTATAATTTTCCTCTCTTATTGTATCCTTGTCAGACATAAGCTTCAAATTATTCTAAACTTAAAAGTTGAAAATCATCATGTGCATCACTTCTGCCTTCAATATTCCAAGACAAAAGTCAATACCCTGGTGAGACAGAGGATATAATGCATTAATACCTCTGTATTTTATTTCTTAAACAAAATATTACTAGCCACAACTACTAAAAGCACTTGTAATCAAAGAGAAAAACAGCTTTTTCTCATGTATAAGAATTTATAAAAATTTACTACAAAAGGTTACTGCAAATTATGTAATCCAAGTGTCATTTTTCTAATAACTAATGTCCACACTGGAATTTATTGCAAAAGAAACGCAGTCACGATGCTTAATAGCCACATAGTAAGCAGCTCTAAACACATTTTTTAAGCAAAAAACCCCTTGTTTTAATAAAAAGTATAGGAGTGACGTATAGAAAGTATATTAATATATTGCACAGTAAGTTTTTATATTAGATAATCATCTACTCAATAAATGTTCCGTTACAATATTCTATTTCATACAGATGTTCATTCTGTTATGATATTCTATTTCATACGGATGTTCATTTATTAAGTGTGCCTAACTGGGAACTTTTCTTTTGAGAATATATATTCTAAGTCTGCTTACTTAACTATATTGTTGAAACTTTAAAAAGGTTTTTAACTGACAAAAATTGTATATAGTTATCCTGTACACCATATTTTTTGAAAAACATACCTTGTTAAATAGTTAAACTGGGGTAATATTTGCACTGGCTCACACAATTTTTTGTGGTGAGAATTTTATAACCTACTGGACAATTTTTAAGAATACAATATATTGTTATTAACTGTAGTAATGGTGCTGTACTTATCTTTTAAACTTATTATTCCTCTTACCTAACTAGTTTTATCTGTTTTGACTAGCATATCTTCAGTTTCCAGACCTCCAGCCTCTGGTATCTATACTCTACTCTGCTTCCGTTTATTTAACATTTTTAGATTTTATATTTATCAGAGTAGATTAAAACAACAAAGGGATTAATGGTCTTAGAAATATTTTAACAAATATCAAAGAGAAAGTGTGTACAGTCAATAATAAACTTTTACTACACCTTAGAATTCCCAGAAAGCTCAGCAAGTACTTTTAAATGTTACATTTTCCTATAATAAAAAATAATCTAGGTAATAATCCTGAGGACAATGCATTTAAAAAACCAAAAGTAGCCAGTAACATAAAATTTCCCTAATCTTTGTATTTTAAATAGTAAAATTACACAAAAAGTCCAAATTTAAAAATAAAAGGGTTATTAGAAGAACTCCATTTTATAACTAAGGAGACTCACTGTAAGACATTCAGCATCATTACAACAGCAGCTGTTAAACCACGAAAGTTTCTATAATGTTTACATGCAATGTTTCTCCAATTATATCACATAATTTCCTTTCAAAGGTTGTGGTACAAAAATTAATAGCATATTACCATGAGACTAACAGGTATTTTTAGATTGTAAAAATATACTACTAAAAACAATAGTATCCTGTATTACGGGTACCTAACATTGATAGGGCTAAGGATTTAAATATGCAATTGATTATCCCATTTACCGGCATAAAATGTAGAAAGGCTTTAGCAAGATAATTTTTTTTTTTTTTTTTTTTTTTTTTTTTTGGTTTTTTTCTGGTACTGGGAACCGAACTCACGACCTTGCGCTTGCCAGGCAGGCGCTTTTGCCGCTGAGCTAAATCCCCAGCCCCATAGCAAGATAATTTGAACAGTCTGTCTAAATAGATGGTTTATACACTTACCACTCTTATGCTTCATAAATCTCTGGAGCCTAAGCTAAAAACATTTCAACAATTAAATCTATTTAAGTAAGTCTATTTAATACCTACTAGAATCTCTTAACAGCATCAACTAGATTTTAATTTTTCTTTCTCCTAAACTCACAAAAATGGAATCTTAAAGAATAATCACAAAAGAGTTTCCTGGGTATTATTTAAAGGAAAGGATATAAAAGGTTTCATTTATATGATTATTTGCTTTAATAGTAACAGAGGATATTCTACAGATACTAGCTTTGAGCTTTCCCATTTCAATTTAGAAAAAAAATTTTAAATGATGATGAGGAACAGTTTTCTAGAAATTGTTTGGATGTTTGTCTCTAAGGACTCTGCATTAAAACTCTCTATAGGGTAGGGGAACACAAACAACCAATAAACAAACGCAAAGTGCTAAACAGATTCACTAAGATGACTAAGTCACATTCTTATGTAAATAACTATTTTCCTAAAGAGATCTTTACCAAGTAATTTTCCCCATCATTAGCCTGATGTTATTATTGACTTTCATAAATTCAGTTAGTGGCTATTATATTAGTACAATACGTATTAGTACACCTTATAAATTCTGTACTCATTTGATTCTAAAGCTAGATAAAAGACCCTAACAATAAAAGCAGTATCTAAACACGCTATGAAAATTTTGTAAAAGCTGTAAGTAGCACAGACTTCAATTTGAAATCTGTATGTAAACAAACCTTAAAAATAACTAGATAGTATTCACATGTCTCCAAAATTGGTCAGTGGTACACTCAGTATACCAGATCTTAGTATTTCTTTAAAATTCCTGAGTTCCTTATAATCAAGGAGGATAAATCTAATCAAAGTAAATATTTGATACTGCTTAGTAGCATAAACTAAGTCATGCAAAAATTCTGAAAAGAGGGACATTACATGGAAAAAATGTGGTGGCTTCATGGCCAACTTTACTGAGATCTTTAATCTTTAAAGAATGCCTAGAATTTAGTTAGGCAGGCACTTGAAGAAAATTACCACCAAAAAAAGAAAAAGGACAGGAAAGGGCAAGGGAGAGAAAGTAGAAAAATGCTCCCGAGGGCAGAAAGAAAACCAGAACAAAAGTTTAAAAGAACCACAATCAATAATTGAGGTACATCAATAAGCTGTGAGTCATGCAAAATAATTTACTTGAGAAATTCAAAGTTTCTCTAATGAGCTAACATTAAAATATGTCCAGTTGTAAGATGGTTACAATGTAAACAGAGGTAGGGAATTCCAAGATGCCAGATAAGACACTGCTCCTGGAAGCCAGAAAATTGAAGGCACCAGAGAAAAAGAAGTAGAGAACAGATCTTGAGGCTTGTAGATTATTCATCTTAGAAAATGATGGTATCACTTCCAAAGCTGGACGCTAGAAAGATTTATATGCGAAGTAATTATTTTAGGCATGTTATGCCTCAAAAAAACACTGAGATGCCCAAGAAAAAGGTCTGATGTACAGAATGAAACTCAGATTAGAATTTCTAGAACCACCAAAGTTTAACGAACTAAGGGAAATAGTATACTCAAGAACAAGAGATGATAGCATATCACCTATCTCACAGATTGTTTTGTTTACCTTCAGTGTCAATCTCCTTTGTGATGTTCAGAATAGCAAGAGTCATGGACTAGAAATAAGAGACAAAGATTCTAATCTGGCTGAGCAACTCATAATGTATAGAACACTCCATAAAACCATTTGAGCTTTAAGTCTATTTGGGCCATAGGTTATCTAATTCTAATATCTGTGGCAACACAATATCACACACCTCAAAGGAAACTAAACATCAGAGCACTCATACATACTGAAACAAACAAAAAACCCCACATTTACACAGAAGATAGATCCATAATGGTTTTAACAAAATTTGCATTTATCCCTTCATCTTAAAAAAAGAAATAATGAAATATCAGGATCCATTCAACAGCTGTTGGTAATAAAAACCTTACATTTATATCATCCCTTCCCATTTATAAAATATTTTCACAAAACCACATGAGCAAGACAGATATTACCGTCACCATTTTACCAATGAGAAAAAGACTGAGAAAGGTTAAAAGCACTGTCCAACATCATGCAGTTAGTATGTGAAGAGTCAGGGCTCAAAGTCAGATCAAATTCCTAGTTTATGGCTCTTGCTATTAAGCTGCCAGCTTTCAAATTAAAATGTACAGTATCTCAAAAAAAAAAAAAATGGGAAAAACCAAAAGAATGAAGCACACAGAAATAAGCAAATATTAAAATGCTGATGCAAAAAGTAAATAACGGTAGGCTAGCATTTTTCTTTTTCAGCAGTAAGAAAGCAAAAAGGTAGGTATAGGAAATACAGACACTATTAAGAAGCAGGAGTTTGAACTATGAAAAAATTAAAAATTAAGATGCCACCTGAAAACATTTACAAAGCCAAGACAAACACATCATGCTATTCTTACCTTTTCAGTTGCTGAAACAGATGGCTTTGATACAAAACCCAACCTGTCCTTCACAGATAACTTAGTTACATTCTAAAAAAATTAAAATGGACATATTCAGTGTTTCCCCAAACATATATAAATCTGTTGGGATTCTGAACATTCTGATTTTACTAGTATATACCAATTCTATGAGTATACTGATACTAGTCACAAAAATGTGGGCATTTTTAAAGGAGGGAAAGGAAGGGAGGAAGGGAATGTGTATGCAGAAACAAAAGTAAATAGTACGCAATAAACAGTATGCAGTATTATTCAATCATGAAAAATTATAATGTAAAACAAGAGGACTGAACCAGGTAACTGCTGAAGTTCCTTCCACTGATACTAGAATCATAAATTTTTAGAATTCTGTATTAATAAAAAAAAAATCTGTACATTTTAAATTAGATTTGAGTAATTAAGATGTCTGTTTCTCAAGTTTAACATTAAGTGTACTATATACTTAGCTAATAAGTGGCATCAATTAACTAAGTAAAAAACTATATCCTGACTATTTTATATAGCAAATCCTGCAACATATGGAATAAAAGCAAAGCTAAGTTTTGAAGACTGAAGGTACAGAAACAAGAAACTGCTACTCAGGTGTGGGACAAAGTGGGAAGAAATGACATATGGAGGAGAGAATCCCAGGAGTAAGTGATGCAAGGCAAGCTGCCTAAATCTTGAAACAGTATCACAGGAGCATGCTTAATCTAATATTTTAAGCCCTCTTGTCTCAAAAACTTTCAGTTTAGTCTACTGCACAACAGAATTCTAATTAAGTAAAAAGAAGATGGGAAAAGTAAAGAGCTAGTGTACTAAACCACTCTTCCAGCGGTTTTGAAGAAATGTATCCTCTCCATAGAGAAGAAATCTTTCTTATACAGTATTAACTAAATGGAAGAATTCAAGTACTGTAAGAGAAATCCTAAATGTTATGGTAAATAATGTTATGGTAAATAATTTACAGGTGGGGTTCATTTACATAAAGATCTTAATTTCTGTGAAAAATGTAAACACTGAACTGTAATTCAAATCATCAAGTGAAATTAATTATATGAGGACCTAGTATGTGACAGGCAAGGACCTTCTATTTACCTGAGGAAGGTCTGAGCTAGCACTCTGGGCTTCTGCCGGTTCAACAGTACTTGAAGGTACTGGACCCAACCGCTCTTTGACAGACTGCTTCACAACAGGCAAAATGGGCTGCTGGACTAAAGGCTGCATTACCTCAGAACAAGAAAAAAATTTAACAATCTGATTAGTTGGGGAGCATAAAAATAACTTTTGATAGTTTGTACTAAGCTGTTCATACACAGAAAAATTTTAAACATAGCTCATAATCAAAACCCAAGTATTTTTCAACTTTTTTCACACACTCTCTCACACACACACACGTTTTCTTTGCAAGAAATATAAGTTACAAAGTATTAGGGGAAATGCAATTTATCTTCCATTGTTGTTTAATAACTGAAAAACAAACTGCTATAACATACCTCTCTATGCAAGCAAACATTACACAGTATAACACCGATGTATTTACTAATAGAGGAGGGGGAGAAAAGAAAGACAGGAGAAGGAATAAGAATTCCCAAGACGAACCAATAGTTTAAATTTATAGAGTAAGTTAGGTGTGGTGGTGCACACCTGTAATCCCAGCACTTGGGATGCTGAGGCAGGAGGATCGTTGCAAGTTCAAGGCCAGTCTATGCTACAAAATGAGCTCAAGGCCAGCCTGAACTGTACAGCGAGACCCTGTCTCAAAAAACGACAAATATATAGAGAGAATATACACAGCTATATTTACTGAGTGTGTCTCATCTGCCAGGGACTGTTTTATATACTTTACTACATATATATCATCTTTTAATTCCCCAAATTACAGATTAACATCACTCTTAAAAGAGAGAACACACTGGAGAGGTAAAGTAACTTTCTCAAGTCTACAGAGTTAACCACAGGAAAGCTAGAATATGAATTCATTTGTTTTTTTTGTACTGGGAATCAAACTCAGGACCTTGCACTTGCCAGACAGGTGCTATGCCACTGAGCTATACCCCTGGCCCTAGAAAATGAATTCATATCCCCATGATTCCAATGCCTTTGCTCTTTTTTTTTTTTTTTTTTTTTTTTGGTTTTGGTTTTTCTCCGGTACCGGGAACCGAACTCACGACCTTGCGCTTGCCAGGCAGGCGCTTTGCCGCTGAGCTAAATCCCCAGCCCCTGCCTTTGCTCTTAAACAGTTGTCTCTCTTACCTTTGGGGAAGTGGTTTGTAACTGCTGTGTGCTCCCTTCTCTGTGCCAATAAACCTTAATGAAGCGGTTGTTTAATACTGCTTCTGTACTTGATATTGCTTTCTTTGCTTCTTCATATGTTGCAAATTGAATAAGGGCACCTTCAGGATCACCATTATAGGCAACCTAACATTTAAAATGTAACAGTGAATTTCTAAAGGAATTTGTTGCTTTATGCAGTAAAATTCCTCAAGTTATGAAATCCTGGTCCTTCCAACTAAGAGACTATTTTCATGTTTCCTTGTATCTAGAGTATCACCAGTACTTTTCCTCCAGGAAAAATAGTAACCAAAGATTTTCATAGTGTGAAAAAAGCCTCTTCCATTTAACAGCAGAGTGCTAATTGCATAAATGTTGTACACAGCATCCAAAATGTTTCTCTTTTTACATCTTTGATTTTAATGCTGGATATCAGAAATAATTCCTATAGTCAATGGCCAAAATCGATAGATACAATGTAAAGAACAGAGTACACATCTTTGGAAGAGGTGATCTTGAGCTCAAAATTACATAGAGATCATCTGTACAATAGCCCAAATTTGTAATTTTCAAACAGCACAAGAAAACTCTGAGGAAAAAAACCTTACCTAACAATAACATCAATCACATCTGACACCTAAGGAACCAAGATTCAGGGAATAATTAATTCTGATGTTTAAAAAGTCAAAAAAAGCACTCCAAATTTTCGACTGTTTCAGTAATATCAATGTTTACCGAAGTGTGATTTATAAACCACAGTGTGCAGCAATACAAAAATCAAATTGCTTGGCTCAAACCTTGACTGACTTCCACATGAACAAGCCATTAACCTTTCTGTGTCTCATTATCTCTGCTATATGTGGGAAGAGTAACAGTACCTATTCCTTAGTGTTACTCTAAGAAATAATTCACTCAGAAAATAGTATTCAATAAATATTAATTGTAACTTTAAGAATGATTTTAGATAGCATTTTAATAATTATACTTTTTTTAGAATTTAAAAGCATCAGTTTTAAATATGTTTAATTAATGTGAAGCTTAAGGATTTAATTTTACCTGATTTTGAAAAATTTTTATAAATAATGCAATAGTATGCAGATGCAGCAAAAGAACCAATGAAGAGAAGATGCATAAATGAACAAAGAGAGACAAAGGGAGATACTATGTTTTGCCTCAGGTTTGAAGTATTTTTTTCTTATTTATATTTTTAGATTTATATTACCAGTATAGTTAATTTTATCAGCAACTATATAGTTAATTTTATCAGCAACTGGGAACTTTTTGTTATGTCTAGATACAAATATGGTAAACTGAATTGCCATAAAGATATTAAAAGATATGCAAAATTAAGTAAATAACTACAGGATAATACCCGTACTACCAATGCTTCCAAAAGTTTACGTAGAGACAGACTAATATATACAAAGATCTAGAGCAGAACACAGTAAACTGTAATAACTCAATTTTATACAGATAAAGGGAAGGTGACAAACATAGAAATTCAAAAAGGAAACATTTCCCTTAAATTGTTTATACATCTCTATTTCCCTACCTCAAACAAGCCTTTCTCACTTCCATTACTTTTATAAGTGTATTTTTAAAAGTAATAAAAAGTTTATAAAATAGCAACTTAAATTGAGCTTTCTCTCTAAAATTTCTTTTTTTTGGATTATAAAATATTAACTATTTTAGTTAAAAGTGCAAACTAGAAGATAAAACCCAATGTATTATTTAACACTTTTAATATATAATGAAAATTAAATAATACTAAAAACACATACTTACCCACAAAACAAACCTTACAATTCTGCTAATCCAATGTCTTATTTTAAGAGAAGTCATATACAAACTGTATTACCTTTTACCATGAAAAATGGTTTTGTAAAAAACAAATATTTAAAATAATTACTGATTACATGGTATTTGGACTCCATCAGTATTTGGACTCCATCAGTAATTGGGCCCCCAAATTCATCCAACCACAAAAATTGCAAAAATAAATCTGACTGAAGTATTCTGTTGAAATGATCTTAAGAAATTAATGAACTGAAAACTACTATAACATTAGGCATTGCCGGCATGATTATTTAACTTTCCTGTAATTTTATGACAAGCTCTATTAGGTAAAAATTGTATACCATTATGATCAATCAAAAAAGTCTTGCCTCTGAAATTAAAAGAAAAACAAATTTTTCTAAAGGACAAAGTTTCATTTTATGTCTGCTATGGTTTGGATATACTTGGAGCGTTTTCCACAAAGAGGCATGTGTCTGAGGCTTAGCTGTTAACTGTGGCAATGTTTTTGGAGATAGTACATACCTTTAATAGGTAAGGTCTTGTGGGAAGTTCTTCTGCCTTGGGGGAGGGGTGCAGTTAGAAGGAATTAAGGGACCACGTAATTTTCTTGGATACTTCAGCTCTCACCAGAGTAAACTCAACCACTCAATTGCTTTTTGGTTGTTTTGAGATGTACATACTCTTCCCCCAACGCCCACAGGCACTCCCACTGTTGTGACACCAACCACTATTAGACTTTCATCAGAAGCCAAAAGAATGGTACCACCTGATTATGGACTTTCAGCCCCCAAAATGTAAGCTAAATATACCTCCTTTTCTTTATTAAGCGACCCGTCTCAGGTATTTCACTATAGTAACAGAAAGACAATGTCTAATTTCCTAACTTTATAGAGTATTAACAAATTTTCTACATGTCTTTATAAAAAGCAATTTTAATATTACATTAAATTAACCAAGGACAATGGAACCATTTTATGGCACTTACCTGTAAATTAACCAGTGTTCCAAATCGACTAAAATGCTCATTAAGTTTGCTGATATTATTTAATTCTGGAGGAACTTTTCTCAGTTCAAGTTTAGTATTTTCATTTCCAAACTGAACTTTCTTCTGGAAGCCTGGGCTGTTTGTCCTATTAAAATTTGGTCTGTAAGCAAATATCAAGTTGATCAGCACATTCATAAATCCTGACCCTTACACCAGTACAGTGGAATAAAGTTTTACATGTAAGGTAAATATTCAATTAAGTCCAATTTTTGCCTCCAAACTAAAAAGTACTAGTTGATAAAGGAAAGTTGTATTTTCTTCCAAATAAATTCCCAAATTAGCAGTGTTAGCATCTTTCATGGAAATACTTAAGAAGGACTCTGCCATATGCTTTGGTACTTTCCACACTTGGGTTATTTAACATTTTTAGCGGTAAAGGTCTTAGTATACTCAATCAGACAATTTAAACATAAAACCTTTTTTCCATGTCAGAATAAGCTAGCTTATTGAAATGTATCCTCTTTTAAATTTTGATAAAATTTCAAATTTAATTTTTATACAAAAAATGACCCCCTTAGCCTCTTTCCAGCTTAAAGACACAAAAAAAGAAGTGTTGGAAGTACACATTATACAACTGACACTTGAAAAAGACAAAACTGTGCCTAACAGCTTGCCTCAAATCACAGAATTACACAATTAATTACAAAGCAGAGCTATGAACTGCCCATTATTAATGCTCAAGTGGTGTGGTAGTAGTGTCTTTTTAATACATGCAAATCTATAAATGAATCATCATACCCTCCTCAACATTCTGTTTCCATATACTTTTTTCAGAAGCTCTTCCTTGACAACTGAATGCCTCTCCAATTGTTTCCAACCCTGCAAAAAGCTTTCTAGCTCCTAATAGGAACTACCTACATGCTGAATTCTCTTCCCAAATCTCATCTACATGCCTTTTTTCCCTAACTGGTGAGGAGGGCGTCCCCCTACATATAGCTATAGCTAGTATTTAATGTCACATTTAAGTAAGGAGTATTTCTCTTGGAGAACTGATATGAGGAAAAATTATGTCCTCAAAAATCCCATCAACTGTATAAGAAAACGCTTTTCTAGTACCAAACAACTAAACTACAAATGCCTAGAAAATAACATAAATTTTCTCTGGGGATTGCCTGCACAATAGAGTAACTCAACATTTTCAAAAAAAGAAAATACTATATGGTCAAAATCACACAGTAACAATCTAAAAAACCAGTGTACAACAGAATTCTTCAGTTTTCCCTGCCAGCTTACTTATCAAACCAAGTCTTCTTTGTAGGACCTCCAGGCTCCCCAGAACCTATTGTTCTTTTCCTCGATTCTGAATCCACTACTATCCTCATACTGCTTTTATTAGGAGGCTTTTCTGTGTTAAAAAAGAAAAGAAAATGAGAAAAAGCATAGATTAATATTTTATCACAGCTACTTAATTCATACTGAAAAGTTTCTGGCTTTTTGACCAAATATATACTTCAGAAGAAATAGAAATAAAAGTACATTCAAACACAGTAATCCAAGGGATTTGTAATTTACTTCAAACACATTCTTCTATTTTACATCTATCAACTGTAAAAACAATCAGTACTTCTCACATGCCAAATTAAAATGGGATTCTTTAGGCCATTTTAAGGGTAAAAACCCATGTGGGAATTCCCACGTGCCAACACTCTCACCACAAATCAATATACTGTACAAATATATTACCTGAGTCTTTAAGTCCATTATTTTGAAATCAAAGGCACAATCTAATATATTTAAATTTAACACTAATTGAATGATCTTTGAGAATCTGTAAGAGTTGTAAATGAAGCTGTTTATTTCAACAGCAATGTATTAACATACTGAAAGCATACCTGATTTAAAAAGAAATTAATGAAATACACCATGCAAGAGTATAAATACCTGCTTCCAATACTTTTCACATTTACCACTACAACAGCCTTTATACAAACCTGCCTTACTTTTTTCATCTAGTCTACTGTCCTGAACTGGGCTTTTCTTTCCAGATTTCTCTGGTCATCAACTATCTGTAGAGAGAGGCCCCAAAATCAATTCCTCAGAGCCCTGCTGCTTTCCTCTATCATCAACCTCTTCCATAACATTTCCAATGAACACCTAACATTACAGCTAAAATTAATCCGTTTTTTACAAAGAAAACCTTATTAAACCATTTCCTCTTTAGCTTTTCCATCTACCCTCCACATCTGCATAGCTAATTCCTAAAAGAGGTGTACACTGACCTAACTTTGCTTCTGTATCATCTACTCACTCACAAATTAATCCTCTGAACATCACAGCTGCTCCCATTACTGAAAATATACTATAATCACTGATGTCCTAATTCGTTGCTTAAGCCTATGAATATTTTTCAGTCCGTCTCTTTCTTGACCTGTAAGAAGCATTTGCTGAATCCACTACTACCCTCACACTGCTTCTATTAGCAAGCTTTTCTGTGTTAAAAAAAGAAAAGAAAGGGGCTGGGGATTTAGCTCAGCGGCAAGAGCGCCTGCCTGGCAAGCACAAGATCATGAGTTCGGTTCCCGGTGCCGGAGAAAAACCAAAAAAAAAAAAGAAAGAAAAACAAAGAAAAAGAAAAGAAAATGAAAAAGAGCATTTGTTACACCTAATAACCTTTCTCTCCTCCAATATCTTCTCTAGATTTTCAGGAATCCCCACCACCTGCTTTTGTCTATACCTTCTAGTTTCTTTTCAGTCTCCTATATAATCTATTTAAGTTCCCCTATTTACTTGGGCTTTTTCATCTCTACACAATCGCTCTATTGCCATGGCTTCATTCATCTTTTCAATGATTCCTGTGAGTTGAATATTAGAAAAATACACGAAGGAGGTGGGCATGGGAGGCTGAGGCAGGAGGACTGGGCTACATGGTGCATTAAAGGCCAGCCTGAACTACATAGTAAGACCTTGTCTTTCAAAAAAAAAAAACAAAACAAAAACAACATACAAGAAAGTATTTGTAGTCTATATAATTCAAACTTGCAAATTTCAGTATCACTCCTTCCACCTCCCTTGACCTCCACAATTACTAAGGTGACAGAAAAAAAGGTTAAGAATGAGTATTTTACATATTCATGACTCCAAAATTTTCTAGTCAGCCTTCTCTCATGGAGCTCAGACTTCCAAATCTGATCTCAACTTCTCCACTCAAATGACTCATGGCCCAATTCAAAACTTCCAAAACTAAATTTATCTCCCTATCAAACTTGGTCTTCTTCCACAACAAATGATACTACCATCTGCCTAATTATCCAGGAAAATATTTGGTGTCTAATTTCACCCTTTCCTATTGAAAGTCCAGCTATTTAGTCAAAGTACTGTCAATTCTTTCTACTAAACTTCAATCTTTTCACTTCTCACTATTATTACCCTAGTCCAGCTACAAGCACTTCTGTTCCTGAATTTCTCAAATGCCTTAATAGACCTCTTAAGTCCTTCTACATCCATTTCAAAAAATAAAAGCTCTTTCAGGTTCTCAAAGTATCATCCAGTACATGTGTTTGACTTACCCACTTTCTCTGGCTGTGATTTATTCTACACTTCCACAGCACGTCAGGCAAAAACATGCTACATCTAACAATAGTGACATTCACAGTGCAAACTAGTTCCTATGTCCAAAGACACCATCCCATCTTCTACAAGGTATTTAGTATTATTCTCATCACTTAATCTGGTTTACTAGCCTTTTCTGAGAATCTCTGATCTAAACTTCTCTTTTACTTTTTAATATGTACTGCACCTGAAGGCTCACTAAGAGACAGTGATGTGTTTTTTCCTCCAATAATTGAGATGGATTTCCCCCAATTAATTTTTTTTTTTTTCTCGGTCTTTTTGAGACATGGTCTCACTATGCAGTTCAGGCTGGCCTTGAACTCACTTTATAGCCCAGGCTGGTGTTGAACTCACAGTGATCCTCCTGCCTCAGCCTCCCCACTGCTGGGATTACAGGCATGAGCCACCACGCCCAGCTCACCCCCAATTAATCTTTATTTTCTCATTTAAGTTTTTTTTATTAATATTCAAGAGGAGTGCTAGAAATAAAGAAACCAAGCTCCTTTTGGTATACAATCAGAAAATGTATCTAATCATTACTACTTCCCACAATATCCTTTTAATGAATTTTTTTCTGCTAAAAATTGTCAGAATTGATTCTGTTGACTGCAAATGGGAAACTACTTAACCCTTCCCCTTGCCTATATCCAAGCATGGAAACATCTATCAGGTTCTGTAACTTTACAAACACAGAAAGAGTAATTATCAGCACCTCCAGGAAACTTTTACATTAGTAATTCTAAGACATCAAAGGGCCTAATTCTTTTTCATTTATTTAATAACTCTCCATCAAGATTTAAAGTTATTAAGCATGGAAGTATAACTATCACATATAACTATTATAATCTTTGATAAATGTCATTTTTAGGCTATTAGAAATGTATAATAATTACACAATGAACAATACCATAAGCTTTTTATGTATCCATCACAATCCAGGATAGTAAATTTGCAATTTAAATCAGGAATAACCGAGAATATATGGTAGGGTAGGAGGGGGGCACTGAAAAAACCATGAAAACAGAATTATAGGCGATCTTCAACTGGGTTGCTAGGTCAGCTGCCTGATACATTAGAAACACTATTAATACAGACTATACCCTAAATTAGCTCACAAAGTAATACATAATGTTATCTAAATACTAATACTTAAGTAATTTTCAGGCACTACAATTTTATTTAAAAGCCATTCAGATCTCTTTGTAGGAATGCTAGACATTTATTTCTCAATAGCAGGTCTCATAACTATACACACAAAGAGCTAAAATACCCTAACTCCAACTTCTAGAGTAAGATTCATATGAAAAAGATTTGCTCTCTCTCCTCTCAATCACAACTAGAAATCAACCTTCCATGGAACTATATCTAATGAACCTAATAAATACATTTATGCCACTCCAATGCAACAAGGTAAGAAAGAAATGAAGTGTAAATACCCAGAGCAGTAACATTTTATGGGAAGAAAGTCATAAGCAGAAGGAAATGGAGCTTCTATAAACTAGCTAAGTGAGAGACATTCAAAGGATGGATAAATCACAATGAGCTGTAATCTCAAGTGACCACTTTTTAATTACAAGCTATGTTATTCATTCACACTGAAACTATTTTAAAAATCTTTTTCTATTGCTGTTAATGGTGATTACTGGAATCCTTAAGGAAGATTTTAACAATGTATATGGAGGGAGGCTTATAAATAAATGTCTCATCTCAAAGAGGATATAAAATTAAAATGTTCTTCACACCTCCATCACAAAAAGATTTTCAAATACTCAAGGAAGATACTCAGCATTTTATCACTTGCAATCAACAAATTAAAAACACAGGCACAAGCTATCATAATGCTACTAATCTACATTAAGTACTATTACTGAAGTCTGGCTTTTATTCACAATGATAAATCGATTTTTTTTTTTATTCTAGCTAGGAAAAAACAGCAAGAAAACGTTAGAACACTAATGGGTTTTAACAGTTAACTGAGGTGATTACGTACATTTTTACTAGCCCAGGTAATATTTTGTTATATCTGATATCTGTCACCTACCCTATAAAATGTTATCTGTGACAAATACTACATCATTCAAAATAATGTGAATATACTTGCTCCTTTAACCCTCCTCATCAATTTATATCTCTAGTATAGAGCTTCAGCTGCTCTGGCTTATGACCGTTATCAGTCCAAACTCTTAAAAATTTTATTGAAAAGTCAGTTTTCTTTAAAAACTTTTTACAAGGAGTCACTTCCTAGTAATACACAATTTCTTCTGCCAACATAACCAAACCAATACCAAATTTTAACACATAAGAAGTGAATGAAAAATAAAATATGCATCAAGTACTAGTTTGCACAGGTAATTTCATTATCCAAAAAAGGACAGACTTTAGGAATTAAAGCATTACTCAAGAGTTTTTTGGTTGTTTTTTTTTTTTCAAGAGACAGCATTTCATTATGTAGTGCAGGCTGGCCTTCAACTCATTTACGTAGCCCAGGCTGGCCTCAAATTCATGGGCCTCAGTCTCCCAAGTGCTGGGATTACAGGAGTGTACCACCACACCCAGCTATTCTTAAGAGTTTACATGAACCAATTCAGAGTACAGATGGAGAGAAACAAACAAAAACAAAACTACCTGAGAAATCAGATAGTTTTTCCTGTGGGAAAGTTCTCTGTGGAGCAGTATAACGAAATATGGCTCTACCACAAATATGGAACCACACATTACCTGTACCTCACGAGAGACCAAAAGATTCAGGTAACTAACAAAAACACCATCCCCTACTCAACCTAAATAAATACAGGAAGAAATGTTCTTTAAAAATGGTTCCCCACTCTTGATACTATGAAAATGATGAGAAAAGATTAATCATAGTACCTCTGGGTGGCAAGTCCATATCCCCTGATGTTAATCCTATCAAGTTAGGCCTTTGTGCATGCACTCTGTGTCTATACATAGGTCTAGAAGTGTTTGTTATGCTTGGAGCTTCAGGATTGTAGCCATCTGTGTCATATGCATCTGGTAATACAAAAACTGCAATTAAAAAACAATTATAAAACTCCATTTGGTAATTTTAATATTGACAATAGAAACAGTAAGCCATCTAACAAATTACTAATATAACTACCATGTTTTATAAGTATTATAAAGTTCCATAAAAGCAAAAAATATTAAAAAGGTAAGTTTTTAAAAATAGTAACTGAGGGATTATTTAATGTACAGTCACCAAGCTTAGAAGGTAGTCAAAATAATTTAGTGAGAAAAAATGGTTCTAACAAAGCAATGAATACTATAAACACTATTAAATTCCTTATCTAAAATTCTGCTTTAAAACTACTTCACAGTATGAATAGAGAGTGGGCCAAAACTGCACCTGCAGTAAAAAGAGAGGGTGGAGCAGGAGGAGGCTGGTGATGAATGCCAGTTGTTACAACAGTAGGAACAGAACTGGTTGCAGAGTTCGGGGGAGCATCCATGCCAGATGGTTGCAAAGGAGGAAGGGGAGGTGGTGGTCCTGTCAAAACCAAAGAATAAGAAATATCATCTGAAAGCAAACAAATAAAATAAATTACTGTATATCCAAACATATTTTCCTTTATCAAACTGTAATACCCTCTACAAACACAAAGCTCTTACAACTTAATAGGTTTTCTTGGTACAAAAGCTTTTTAATGTATTCCAAAATAAGTTAGCCTTAAGCAGTACAAGACTGCAGGCAACTGGGGTGTATCCACAGTGTCATAATTCACAAGACCATTAAAAGCCACAGTATCTGCTTTGGTACCGGCTGAAATGTTTCAGTATATTCCAAATGGAAGTATTTCATTTAGTTTCTAACAGACATCTACATGACAGCTGTAGATACTTTTAACAAAATCAAGCTGAACCTATTAACTTTAGAGGAAAACTATTAATGGACAAATAATGAATACACACCCATAAATGTTATCTACTGACCTGTGACAGGTGGGAGACTGGGTGGTAATGGACCTGGAGGTGGCACTGGGGGTCTTAAATTCACAGGTGGCGGTGTAAGAATTGGTGGAGGTGGGGGGAGTCCAGGAGGAGGTGGTCCTTCAACAACAGGAGGCTGTGCTGGGAAAGGCAGCATACCAGGAAGATTGACATCTTCTACAACTACTGGGTCACTTCCGTGATCAAAAGGGCACATGTCACCTCTCATACAAAAACCCTTTTCTGTGAGTAAAGAATAGTTAGAAAGAAATGTGAAAAGCACTGAAACTGCAAATAGTCTCTAGGTTATAAAACACCAATCTTTTTAATAATGAGCAAAAATGTAATTTTTAACCCAATTTTTCACAAAAGCTATCTGCTCATTTTCAGTAATATAAATATACTTATCAATTTTCCTACAAATTCCTCATATTTGTCCTTCTTTATAGCAGAACAGTATTCCATTTTATATATCTATATTTTACATACACACACACACACACACACACACACACACGCACACACACAAAACTTTGTTTATCCAATCATCTGTTGATGGGTTTACAGATCACTTCCAGGATTTACCTATTACAAATTTTGCTTCACTAACATTGGTATGCATGTATCACTGTTACAGACACAAACTTAGATATCACATGGTATCTCTCATTTGAGTGACGCAAACTACAAAGGTAATTATAAAGGACAGATAGAAAGGGACAAGGGAAGAAGAGGAAGGGAAGGAGAAATGAGAAGAATAAAGATGTGCCATGTACAAGACCCTAATAACTCCAATCAATGTAAACATATGCCATAACATGACCTAAGACAAATAATATCAACAAGTATATAAAAGGGGACAGAGGAACTAGGGCGTGAGGAGGAAGAGAGGAAATGGGTTAGGGGGAAAAAAACTGTAATAGGTATATATAACCAATCCCCAAGGTGACTGCAAAGTGTGTCAACTGCAAAGATGTACTAATTTAAAAAAATGAAAGAAGCCAAGATAAAAACATTTATCAAGTGTTAATACATCTAACATGCACATGTATACTAACATACCTAATATATTTTAAAAATATATCACCAAATTAAAGTAAGTTACTAAGCTATCTAGCAAAATGACATAACATTTAATTTTTGGCATACTTTTCTCATTAGAAACAAATCATTTAATCTCTCATTTGAAATTACAAGAATATTGCAACTCTGGCTGTAGTAGCAATTATAAAACTCTTCCTATTAATACTTTAAAAGTCTTTAATTCTCTTATAAAAACATTACCAAGGAGCATTTACATTTCTAGGTCTTAGCTATATTTTAATATTCACTCATTTCTAAAGTGAGTTTTGTCATAATGTATTAGAAGCAGCCTCCTTGAAAAATAACTCAGTAGATACGAATGTAGGACTGGAATGTGGTCATTTTCTAGGTGCAGGTTTAAAAACTTCAACATCTTAAACCTTGCACAGAAGTAGTCTTTGAAATGATAAATAGGCAGAGGTAACTAATGAAATGTATAATAGTATTTGAGAATTCAGGAAATGACAAAGACTAACTTCTCAATATTTTAACACCAGGGATAAATCTGTCAATAACTGTACAACCTAAACTTACAGAATCTAGGAGGCTGCAGATATTAATTCAATACTTTAATTGAAAGACTTACCATCATAGTCTCTACACCGTTTCTTTGGCATTGGTGGTCTTACATATGAGTTATGGTCCACTTGGTCTTCATGAAATTCAGACCAACTTTCAGTAGTGTTATTACCATGATGTGTAGGAGCAATTACAGTAATCGTGCTGCTCAAAGTAGGTACAGGATAGTGACCAGATGAGATATTAGGTACTGAAGAGACTGGAGTATAATTATTTTCTAATGGATCTGCTCTATCCAAGTCATATTTCGGTTTTACCAGATCCCTTTCTGCAATGAAATACAACAGCTTATAAAGTACACTCTACTAGAAAACAAAAACAACAACCAAAAAAAAACCCCACTGTGTTCCAGGTTTAAGAAGGTGGTATTTTCTGCTAAAATAGAGAAAAAAATTTTTTAAGTTCCCTTTCTTCTACAAACTACTCAATTACTACAGACCAGTTCAATGTAAGTTATTTCTATTCAATACAAGCTAACCTATAAACCTACACATAAAGTTGCTCTACTGTTTAATGAGTTTTTCCTTGAAATTTTGTTTCTAGAGAAAAGAAATTTTACTGTCTTCATTACAATCTTAGCCCACAAAACAGAACATGTAATAAAAACATAGTATTTTTCGTCTTATAAACATTTCACCGTGATCCATCTAGAGACACTGTGACTTTTTATAATGAACACTATTAAAGATGAGAATGGATAAGAAAAGGAACAAAGAGAGTACACGTTAAACATAAAGAAACTAGGTAGTACACAGTTCCAAGAAGGAGAAATATCCTGGAGATAAGTGGAACAATATGCAAACAGAGTTATGAGCCACATTACATTTATAGCCCAGGGAAATACTGTAACAAAAATACAGCAGAATACAAGCTTACAATAAGACCAACAACAGTATTAAAAGTAACAAAAATCTAAGTTTGAATAAAAATGTTTTACTCAAAAAGGCTATAGTTATATTTTTACAATAACTGCCTTTCAACAATATATACTGGAAGAAAAATGACAAATGTTCGAAATGACATGCTCTTGCAAATACATCCTGATATACCATTTTTAAACTTTTCATAGTTTGAGGTATAATACATAGATAAAAATGTAAAATGAAGTGCACAATGTAGTAAACTATGATCTATGTATATAACTGTGAAACCAACACTATAATCAATGATGAACTTACTCGTTACCTTCAAAGATATCCTCAGACCCCTATGCAAATAACTTGGAACCCATTCTTCCTTTGCTCTACCTCAGGCAAACACTTACTAGTTTGCTGTCTATAATTACAAATCACTATGTATTTCCTAAAATCTTGCCTTCTTTCCCTCAAAATAACTGTCCTGAGAGTACATGTAGCAACAGTTCCTTCCTTTTTATTCATGCTATGGCATATACCATAGTATGTGGATAAGATTAATATCCACCTAATGATGAACATCTCGGCTGTTTTTAGTTTAGGGCTATTACCTATAAAGCTGGCACAAACATTTGAATACAAATTTTTGTATAAACATATGCTTTCATTTCTTCTAGGTAAGTAACTAGGAGTGGAATGAATAGGTCATTTTCTAGGCATAGGTTAACGTTTTAAGATACTTCCCACGTGTTTTTCAGAAAGTCATTTTACCTACATGCTCACCAACAGTGAATATAATCTATTTCAGTGTGAATATACTGTTAAATGTACAGTGGTAACTGCAGCTTTAACCTATAGTTTACAAACATATCTTGTAAGAGTTTATAAACACATTTTTAAAAACATTTACTTAGACCACAGGAACATAACAAAAAAAAAAACGAAGACAACACTGGCAAAACATTAAACAATTTTTAAAACCCTTAAATACAGAATTTTTCACAGCAAAAAAATGCTAATCAAAAGTATGTTTTATTTACCCCTGCTTCGTGTTCTGCTTCTGCTTCTAGTCCTGCTTCTATCTCTGTCCCTGTCACGAAGTCTCTCTTTACTCCAACTTCGGCTTCGACTCCTGCTGTAACTGCGACTTCGCCCTCGTCTTCTATTATATCGGTCTCTGTACGAATCTCTTCGGGGAGGATTTCGATCATAATCTCTTTTGCGAGAACGATCATCTTTTTTCCTTTCATCACGACTTCTAAAGAAATATATGGATCATTTTTATGCAAATAATAACTACACAGGGAACAAACTGAATGCAAAAACTGTGTTCACTGTCTATCACTGTAACACAAATATGGCAAAGTCAAATTGAAAAACATTAGTTTAAGTAGTCTAACACTTTTTTCAAAAGCAGAAATTATTTTAATGAATTAACCCTCAGTGGTATACATATCAACGTCTATATAGTTAAGCAAGCATATGTACATAAAGGTGTATCTGTTCCTGTCTTATATACACTACAAATTTTAGTACATATATTCCAAAGGTATTTATTGTATCAACATACTCTGAAAAATTTTGAAATCTTAATGGAAAAAAGTAAATCACACTAAATGGAAACTTCAGACAAAAAGGTCTAATGGTACAATTCCACTGCAATCTCTAGTTAGGAATAAAAATTAAAAATAATAACAGATGTCAAGCACAATTCTAAATCTTGCTCCCAAGACATATAAATCTGATAATACATTTTCTTGGTAGAGAAGTGCCTAATAATACCTTCCTGGACAAATACAAAAATAGGCATTACTTGCTACTATGTAAAATATAATCAAAGTCTCATATAAAAGGTAATTAAAATCTAAACACTAAGCATGGCTCAATGAGTCACTTACCTATTTTCTCTGTATCTGGAGCTTGACTGAGGAGGACTATGATTTAGTCTTCTAGAAAACTTCTTCTCTCGCTCTTCTTCCTTAGTGATCTGATACAAAAAAGTGTACAAATTTAGTTACTCCTTACACGTTACTATTTCAATGACTCAAAATTAATTTATATAATATAGAAGCCAAACTGTCATCTTCTCCAAGTAAATTTCTCTACTAAACACAATCATTTAATTTAGCCATAATGGACAGTCTGCTGAAAGAGTGAACAGTAAAGAAATTTATAAATATTAGTCTTAGAAAACAGGGATAAGAAAATACTTTAATAAATCTCATTTTAACATAATTAATGGACAGCTAATTTTACTCCTCTTTCAAAAGTCTAACATATATTCATGCTTTGGTTTCATGGACTTAATCTCACATAAAACACATCAAAGAATATAGGAGGATGCATTTGCAATAACCAAGGCATTAAAACACAGAGCATCTGCATCTGAGAGCTGGGGATATGGTAGAGTACTTGCCTATACGCATGAGGCCCTGTCTTGATTCTTAGAACAACCAAAAAAAACCCCAAAAGGTTCAGGGTATTTGAAAAATCAGTACAGTACATCCATTTTCTCACAGCATCATGTCAACTATATATTCCTGTTTCCTACAGGGGGTATTCATTTCTATAACTACTAGACAGTAGGCATAAGAAACAGTCCTTTGATCAGTGCTATTTTTTTCCAGGCTGTACTGCTTAGAACAGACATTAATATGTGATTTTTGAAAAATGGACTTAGAGGTTAAACAAATTCAGGAAATATTTTTTAAAAGTTTCTATAAATATACCAGGCCTTAAAACTGTCATTTTGAATAAAAATCCTAAGATATCTGATGTAACCTACATAGAAGGTATACATGTCCTGATTTATGCCAGCTTTTCCAGCTCCCTTTGGATGATAGCCAACCCAGAAGAAAAACTAACACAATCCTCCTGATACACTTCTTCCCTTCTACTTATCTCAGCGTACTTGTCTTAGTTATTTTCTTGTTGCTGGGACAACATACCCAACACCCACTATTGGGTTAAAGGAGGAAAGGCTAAAGGAGGACAAGTTTATTTAACTCACAGTTCGTAGAGGTTTCAGTCTATAATCGGCTGGTTCCAAGAGGGTTGCATGGCAAACAGGCATCACAGGGGAAAACAGTTCATGGAGGACAGAAGGTAGCAAACCAACAAGGTACAACCATAGCTTTTTCTATCCCTTTTTCTATCTTACCCAAGCTACTTAGGGCAGGTAGCACTCACACCACTAATCCTCCAAGGTAGGGCAGCAAGGCAGAGGGTACAGCAGAGAAAGAGCTCATGGCAAGGCAGGCAGGAAGCAGTGTGCTTTACTTCTTTCCTTTTTTATTCCATCCAGGCTACAAGCCTTGTTTGGTGACACACCCAGGGTGGATCTTCCCGCTTCAGCAAATCCATTACTCACGCTGATCTATTATCATATACCCATGATCCAGTCACTTGCAAAAGCCCCCTCACCCCATGAGAACATGAGGCTTTGGGTGGGGGACATACACAGATGGATACCTAAATACAAAGCCTAACAGCACTTTTGCAAGTAATTTATGTTGACAGATAACTATATTCTAGAGCACATGCCCAGCTGGAAACTTTCAGTACACCCACAGCATTTTAAACCTATACTAACATCTGGCATTTTGACAGTTCTAAAAGATAAGAGATAAGTAACTTCCCTAACCAATCAAGAAAACTATAACATGTGTTATTCTCTCACTAGATATAAGACTAAGGCTTTACTATTAAATATATTTGGAGGAAAACTGCTTCCCAAACCAAAGCCCCATGAAGCATGAACACAGAAAATACATTTTTAAAAATAGAAAATGAGAAAGACATGGAAACAAGATGCAACCCCAGACTTTCAGCTCACCCAATGCAAATCCAGGGGCACTGAGGTGAAAGAAATCAAAAGCCAAGCAGCTGAACTTTCTGAGATGGTAGCAGAGGAAGTAACAAAGAAGATGGATGAACCTCTAGAAAAAAATCAGAAATATTTTCACAGATAACTAAACAGATGATGACCATAATGAAGGATATGCTTATGTGAATCTAGAGAAGATCTGAACCTAGAGAAGATACAGATAAAAAAAAAAAATAGAGGTGCTTAGGAAGTGATGAAAACCATGACTGCCCAAGAGAGGAAAGAACTGGATTTTATGAAACAGATTCAAATAGATATCCAGGAGATTAAAAATTTTACTGAACTATAAGCAGTGGAATTAACCAATGTAAGGACAGAGTATCAAACCTAGAAGATAGGTGTGCAATTAGTTATCATCAAATAAAAGACTTCTTTAAAATAGCAAGGGACGGGGCTGGGGATTTAGCTCAGCAGCACAGCACCTGCCTGGCAAGCATGAGGTCGTGAGTTTGATTCCTGGTACTGGAAATAAATAAATAAATAAATAAATAAAATAGCAAGGGACTACAAAACAATAAATCCAACAGCCACTCGATAATGCAAATAACGTAAGATTGATGGAATCAATGAAAGTAAGAATATAAATGAAATTTTAAAAACCTGTTCACATAATTACTTACTTGGCAGAAAACTCACACTTGGAAACAGAATTTGACATATAAACATGTGAGGCATACAGCATTCTACTTGGCCATGACTAGAAAAAGCTACACTTTGGCATATAATAGTCAAGACTCTAAAGATTCAAAGCTGTTAAGAGAAAAGAAACAAATCACCTATAAGGGAAAGCCCATGAGAAGAATCACAGCAGACTTTTCAACCCAAACCTTAAGGCAAGGAGAGCATGAAGTATTTCAAGCACTAAAAGATAACAGCTTCCAACCTACATTGATGTATACCACAAAATTATTTTTCAAAATTGATACAGAAATAAGATACTTTCCAAGATAAAGAACATCTAAAGAAATTCATGACCACCAAAATCAGACCTCCAAAAAAGTTCTGAAGGATATTCTAGAAAAAGACAGCAAAGAAACTCCATGTGACAGAAACCCAGAAAAAAGCAGGAGTAACTATTCTATGTGCAGGCAAAGCCACTCAAGCTAAGACTGATCAGAAGAGACAAAGGTGGTCACTACATCCTTGTAAAAAAAAAATCCAAGAGAAAGAGATAACATTCATAAAAACACATGCATCTAACACCAGCACACCGAAGTATATCAAATAAACATTAATGGACATGAAAAATCAGTTAAGCACTAATGCAATTGTAATGGGGACCTCAATACCCCCACTGTCACAAGTAGATCAGATAAAAAAAAAATAATCAACGAAGAAATCAGAGATGAACCAAACCTTTGAGCGAATGGCTTTAGTAGGTATCTACAGAGGGTTGCACTCCACAATAGAATACAGACACTCCTCAAATGCACAAAATAGACTATGTACTAGTTCACAGAACATGTTTAAGAAAATGTAAGGAATTAAAATTATCCCAAGCATATTATCATTACCAGATAATAAATTAATTAATAATTAAAGAAATTGAGAATCAATGGCAAAAGAAACCACAAATCCTGCATAAACACATGGAAATTAAATAACACCCTCCTGAACAACCAATGGGATACACATGAAATTAAAGAAAAAATTACACAGTTTCTACAGTTAAATAATAATGCCAATACAACATACCACTAACTTATAGGGCACAACAGATCCTGCACAAATCCAGAAGATCATCAATACTTACTTTGAGAACCTGTACTCTAATAAGATGGAAAACGAAGAGACAGATTCCTTAATGCACATGAATTACCAAAGCCAAATCAAGAAGATATAAAAATTCTAAATAACCCAAACATCTATCAGTAGGAAAAACAAATGGTCATATCATCTCTATGTGGTACAAGAAATTCTCAACACAGTATCTCTTCTGACTCTTCAGTGTTAATAAATATACCCTACCCTACCCTATCCATCCATCCATCCATCCATCCATCCATCCACCCACCCACCCTTCCTCCAGCCAGCCAGCCAGCCAGCCAGCCACCCAGCCACTCAGCCAGTCTTTCGCTGCAGAGTTTTGTTTTTTTTTTTTTTTTTTTTTT